GAAACTTACTTGATCACCGTACTCAGTCTGTGCAGTGTTGCGTACCACTACTTGAGTACGCAGTGAAGTCCGTGCGATGTTGCGTATCACTTGCGTACGCAGTGAAGTCCGTGCGGTGTTGCGTACCACTTGCGTACGCAGTGAAGTCCGTGCGATGTCAATACGAGTCAATATTGCACTTCTTAATACTTATCATGAATTAATATTGCCACGTACCATCTGCACCTCAGAACTTTCTAATTATATCTCACTATTTAAAAATATAATCTTTTTGTAAGCATTTAACTCGCATTTGTCATGCAGCGAGCTCACTCATCACGTTCGCTAAGTTTTATCGTAAAAATTAATAAGAATTGAAAGTCATCGTGAGCGTGGCACTTCCTGTTATCACTCGTTAGGTCAAGGTTACAATGATCGTGTGTGTTGGCATCACATTCTCGTGATGTTTTTGCTTAGAATGTCCCATGACATCTAACGTTTAATGTGTTGTAAATGCAGTGCATATATGAGCGATCAAGCACTTTAAAAATATGAGTCTGCATTGAAATACACAGAAAGCGGATGTGTTTATCAGGATTGCTTGCTCTATATGTGGGATTAATGCACCGCTGGAATGCATATTTGTTATTTTGATATCAGATGGGGCATTAGACGAGATTTCGGAATTGTGAAGGAATTTTAATGTGCGATCGTCTACCATTACCGCGGAGAATCGCTTTGAATCATTCATTAGTTTTGGGATTTTATGACAGACATAATCGCTAATGCTCCATTTGATCCCATTGCTAAAAAAATCGTTGGTCTCTGTTAAGAAATTTCACTATTTACGGAAAATTCTATAAAGAATCTCATCATATTTCTTACCGTGCTGAAAATCTCGCAGTATAGCCCGCAATATGAAGACTCACAAGATCGACGGTTCACACCAGCCTTTGGATCCCTCATATTTTTTTATAATTGGTTTTAAGACCAGTGGTGTACGAAGCACCTTCCAGCGTTTTCACATGGACCCTTATACATTTTACTTGCCGGCCAATCAAAATAGGTTAAATTAAGCAAAATCTAAATATCTACATCACAAGTCACTCCATGGCAGCTAAATGTAAAAAGCAGTGAAAAGCTCTAGTCCCTAACAAGTCCTTCATTAGAATCCACAGTGAACGGACCTCAAATGTCCGAAGCCTTTATCACCGCGTGGAATTTAGGTACGAGCTGTAGGCATTTTATGACTCACTAATCGCATGTAGCACGGATGCCGCTGCCAGTATGACCAGTCCTGATAAGCATACTCGTCCATTAGCATCGGCAACCTGCGAGGCTTGCACAATCCGTTGCAACATTGAGGTGAGGAGTTCGACGTGACTATTCAGTAGTGCGCTATCCTGTGCATATGTCTTGGAAACCCTGAATCGCATTATGTTCGTGGTAATGAAAAAGCCATGGACATTATAACAAAAGAAAGCTTTCTGCGCGCGTAATCGAGAATACTAAGCCCATGCTGCATATGGCAATCTTTTGTAAAGGGAACGTACAAAAATCAATTTTTACAAAGAAAAATTGTTCAAGTAACATTACTAAACCAATAATCATTGACAGTGCAGCGAGGCTTGATCCTTGTTGACCGTGAGCAATGATTTGCTTGTGCAATCTTCGTTTAGCTCAACCGCATAAATGGAGGTCCATACCACAGTAATGTCCTTGGTGATGGAACTGTCCTAACTCGCTGGACAAGCAATATGGTTAAATAAATCATAGGACCGTACGTTTATACGCTATGTGCTTTAAGCTATAAAGCAAACAACGGTGACAGCAGCAAGCAGTAATTCTGGCAAAGGCAATGAGAGCAACGATGCCAGTAGACAGCAGTAACGACTGCAAGAGCAACAGCAGCAGACTGAAGTACTGACAGCAGTAGTGGCTGTAACAACGACAGCAGCCGGGTGTCTGTGACAGAAAACCTACATCATCAGTGACATCAGTGGTGACAGCAGCAGTGACAGCAGTTGTACCGACTGTAACAGTGACAGCAGCAGTCAAGGCTGTACAGGAGAAAGGGTCGGGCTGAGCATACAGCAACTCTGCGTGTAACGTTGGGACACGCCAGATGGTAATGCTTAGCGACATAAAACGGACGTCGTTTGTTCCAAGTTACCAAGCTAGTAACAACCCAGCATGAGTGTATCTTCCACCTATGAATGTTCATAATACTTGAGAATCCTTCACAAGTTGCGTACCACCGATGCCTGAACATAAGACTCGTGAATGTATATTCTACTCATTGATGTACGTAGAACATTTGCGATGCTTTGATATAAGCGAGGATTGTAGGTCTAAGATGTATGCCCGTCCATTTAGTCCTAATCTTACCGTCGACTCATGTCCCAGTGACAATACGCCTTACCAAGGCTGTCCCTATCTGATTTTTCGCTCACCGAGTGAATTTATGCCAGCCTGTTTCATATGTGCGCCAGATTTTTCTATGATTTCCTCAGACCACAATTTCTAAGCGCCTGGAATGATTTCATCTTCGGGCGAGCTTCAGTTTCGCGGTGTATTAACCAGGATCCGACCTGTCTGTACTCCTGAAAAATGTGTGTTGCTTTTTCTCATTCTTTAGATGATTGAAGGCAAGCGTACTCGAGGCAAGCAATCTGCGCTCGAGCTTTAACACTTTATGACTTGCTGCTTCCTGAAAGTTGTTTGCTTGTCTTCCGCATCTCCATACTTCAGGAGGAAGAGAAGCTTCCGTTTGCACTCGCACTGACATGGAGCGCTCTGTGTACCCAAAATCTCCTCCAAAACAACTCCATGCACCAGCCATGCGGCCAAGGCTTAAGGCTGGACTCAACTTCGAGCACTGAGAGCAAATGTCGCGATACAACGACTAATTGAGAACTAATAAACACATCGTGTTTAACCCTTGCATTGGTACAATTGTACCTAAACTTGGCACGATTATAACGTTGTAAAAGTATGTCGTCTGACCATGGTTAAATTAATCATCTGAATTAACAATTATTTGAAGCCGAACACAGATTGTATACCACTCGCATGGTTAAAATTTATATATGATCAAAAAGATTTGGCATTGGCGCCAGTTGCTCTGAAGTTCCATCATAATTTGTCATTCTAGGAGGAACATCGCAAGAAAATTTTACGAGTCCCTGGCGCAAGCGTGGGCTGCCGCCTTCAGTTTTACCTTTTTTGGATTCAGATTCAATAATCGTTTCCGCGATGCCACTTCTGTTGCAATCGCGCCCGAGGCAGCGGCGCGCGGCCTTGGAGTTGCAAGCATCTTGGTTGGAACTTTTAATTTTAGACACGACGATTCCTGTAATTTAAGAATGAAGTGAGGTGGTGAAGAACCATGAAGTGTCTAGAATAAAATCAGCGAACTTGCAGCTTGCATACCTTTGAATATTTAGACAAAATTATTCTCTGGCTTAAAAGAAGACGTTACCTATAAATTCACTGTCAGTAAAGAATGAAGTGAGGTGGTGAAGAACCATAAAGTGTCTAGAATAAAATCAGCGAACTTGCAGCTTGCATACATTTGAATATTTAGAATAATTATTCTGAGGCTTGAAAGAAGACATTAACTATAAATTCAAGATAATTATTCTCCAATTGTCGAAATTTCATTAATCTAAAATGAAATCTCATCAGAGAAACAATAAGAAATGTTGAGTTCCGACAAAGTCACATTGATTAGAAATAAGCTGATCAGTTCACCTTAACCCAAATGACTAAGCATTTAATTTTTCTTTGCTCAGGTGGGAGTTTTATTATTAATTATTTTCTCTCGTTAGAGAATAATTTGTAAATGTACAAGTTCACTTCTTAAAAGCACCGAGCAAAAAATATGCATTTTTTATTCGAATTGATTATCTTCTATTTTTCCTTTTAAATTGCTCAATACTACGAGTTGACTACATATAAGTTTAATTTTGAAGCAAAATAATTGATATGATGGTTACAATAATACTAATTTTGTAGTGTAAAATTAGTTACAGTGGGATTCCTACCCATATTTATTAAATGAATCATTGTAAATTAAAGCAAGCTGCTGTATTTCGGCATTCGTTTGCTGCGTCTTGCCATGAATTTCAATGGAGAAAAGGAACGGAGGCATCTTCGCTGGACTCCGTCCCTTCTCGCTTGCCTTTCAATGGAGAAAAGCTCTTGAAGCGAGGCATCTTTCCTGGTCTCCGTCTCTTCTCATTTGCCTTTCAGTGGCGAGCGCTAAGGTATACCAGTTGTATGTAGCGACCAGCGAAAACACGTCGGCAGAAGTGAAAGTGAGGTTAGGTTTTGCCGAACATTCTTCCTTGCCATGTGTTCCATTGCTAATGTACAATACACTGTAAACTGATATACTCGATCGAAATGCGTGCTATGTAGTACAGCTTCTATGAGGGTATCTAGCTGAAGCTCTTGATTGTTGTCGCTACGAGTACAAAGACCCAGCCTTCCTTTGTTATTTGAGTTTTCAAACTCGTAATAAGACGTACAAATGTACTTATGCAAATTGCATTCGAAAAATTCGTAGAAGACTTCAATAATTCCCCCCACCCAAAAACTATCTTACTTACCATAATAGTCAGATGATATGAATATAATAACAGATCAAGAAGGTCTGTGCTTTGAAGCTATTTCGTGAAACTGAAAACTAAATTAGTATGTACAAGTCCATCGCTACTCAAAAACGACTTTCATCAGAAAAATTTGTCTCATGTAGCATGTTAAGGTGGGCCTCAACATTGAAATATCTTTTCTGTCACGCATGAGGCCTCTGTTCCAATGGCATCAAACCTTAGTTGATTGACTTAATTATAATAATTTGCACGTGTTTGCTGCGATAAACAAAGTGGGGAAATTACTATTCTTAATGATGTCAGGGACGGATGCAGAGAATCCGCGTTGCTACTCTTTTCGTGAGTCGATTCCGTGTTGATAGGGTAGTTCCTACTGATGACCTTAGCCTCTTGGCTTGGATGGCGTTACGTCATACTCGAGGCGATCTTCGCCTCTGACGATACGAATGTCGGCAGTCGTCCCGCGTTGGTGGTTCTGTAAGGTAGGCTTCGTCCACGGTGCGAGTAACTTGGATGAATGGTGGTTTGATAGCTCATTGTATGTATCGTTGACGGTGGGTGTCATGCAGCGGTAAATTGATTATGTAATGTTAGGTTTGGAGTAATTTGTAGGTTATCGAGTTCATGTAAGATTCGTTCCATCGACACCTGGCTGGTTTCCAGTGACGTGTTCTTGTAGACGCCAACTATTTAGTCAATTGAGAATAATCTAACGGAGGTGTTGGTGGCAATAGCTTCAACCTAGAATTTCCATATTCGGTCAACAATCTGAACAGGATTCAATTGCCGTATTAACTCATCACCAACATGGAGGGTGATTTGCAGCTATAGCGTACGTCGAGATGAACTTGCAACCTTTGTTTGACATTCCACCTGTTTAATTCATGTAGTGAAAGGAGCAATATCCTTCGAAAAGGTAATGTCACAACTAATTTATTGAGAAACTTCGATGTAATAAGTGGGATTTATTTAAAGATATGGGAAGTTTTCAAGTACAAGCATAAATTCTTAATGGAGTTCACGACGGAAGCGTGAAAGCTGTTTGTGAGAAAGCGTATCCGTCGCACCACTTCCACTTGAACCATCACGCGTACACGCGAAGACATCTTCATAGGTACTTTCCTATCGTAGACAACTGATGTCTTACCTGCGCGTCCTTTACTGAAGACACTCCCAAGCAATAAGAACTACAGACCAAGCATGGACCCGATTAGATTAGGATACCATCATTTAGGAACGGTGTTGTGTGAATTTTAGATCGTAGTCATGGCCTCATGGCCACACATTGGCTGAAAAACTAACCTTTTCTGGGCATTTGTTTTTACTATAAATGTAGGAATAGTCGCTGCGGCATATCATCCTATTGTCTTTCACGTAGCTACAAGTATTCCCATCCACTTTTTGTCGTACTGAAGGGAAGGCTGGAAAGTTTCGTTAATTCTTCGGCTTTATCGCTGGTATATTTTCAAGCAAGCAAATTTTCCATGGGCCTATTTCTTCAATGCCGACACTTCTATTCTTCTATTCTAAATGTAAATTCCAGGAAGCCTGTGTGCTGACTTCAACCATCATGTACATATGCACGCAATTTGATCTATATTAGAGAAGTTTCATGTGTCAACCGTGACTAAAATGATTGGCGTCGCTTATTTGCAATGACGGTCTTTGCAGTTCTTGATTCTGAATTTTGACATGTCATTAGAACAGAGCAGTTTTTTATTAGAGAAAGTTGCTGGATTGATTGAATTATTTGCAAAATTTCTGTCATTAATAGTTGGACTCCGTACAATAGGTTTCTCGCTATCGGTACTTCTGGTGTTTAAGTTTCCAATGAACCAGGATCCATAGCATTGTGTTATCTGCGTTAAATAATAGACAAATTTTGTCAAATTATTGCAATGTTCTTGACTTTTGAATGTCACGGAGTCCTGTTATTCGAAGAGATTTCCCTTAGACGAAGTTCCTCCAGACATGAACGTCATAGTTTCCTTCCTAAAACCGATTTATACCTGCATTCTAACTTTATGAATGTGTAGAACTCCTCATAAACTGGTATTGAAGTCAAGTAATTAGTCTCTTTCTTCCCAACAGCAATGAAGTACTTAGCACTCCTAACCCTGCTGGTCATCGCTGGCGTGTGCGTGGCGCAGCAGCAAGATCAAGCCGCCCAGCAAGGAACTCTCCTTGCTCTTCCAGAGCTCGAGCTTTGCCAGACCCGTAAGTTGAATCTTCGTCTCGTGTTTTATTCGTCGTCCGAGCGATGGAAAATTTTGCCTCCGCTTTACTCTAATAAAGAAGCTAAGAAATGGTCCTAAATTGGCCATTGAATTTTAATATTTAACCATAATCTTATTGATTACGTATGTATATGTGCGTCTCGTTCATGTAACAAATCTTTTTTTTAATAATTGTCTTTCCGTTCATCCATTAATGTAGACGTTTATCACTTTCTGTAGATCGCGTACATTAGGCAAGTTCTTCGAAAACCTGCATTGCCTTCTATGGAAACTCGCAAATATCACAAAATTTTATATTGAATTTTGATAATCTTCGGATCAGTTATTAAAATGCTGTTTATTTACGCGCAATAAAGGATACCGTACCTGCATTTTTTCCAACTAAATGCATCACTTCTTACCCCAGGACCAAAGCACTGGCAGTTCAACAATCACTGGTACTACTTCTCGTGGGACGATCCCTCTAACATCGAGACGGATCCTGCGACTGGCCAGCCTGCGGGCAAGAAGGTCAACTGGCTCGATGCCAGAAACGAGTGCAGGAAGCGGTGCATGGACGCCGTCGGCATGGAGACCTTGCAAGAGAACAACATGATCTTCAAGTTCCTTGAGAGCCGTGAGTTCTGATTTGTATATCATGGACATGCAGCTTTGAAGCCCTCGCGGCTCTTGGCCTAATTGCTCTTGGCCTGAAAGTTAGGTTTGAGCAATTTCCATGTAAATTATACCATCATAGTTGAGCGACTAGGCTATTCATAATTTAATTAACGTGCGCCTGGTTTTGCTGAAATTCTGGAGTTGCACATGTAAATCGTAACAAAATGCATTAAAATAAAAGGTTGGGTCTGCAGTGCGTAAAATATGAAAACGGTAAAAGTACATAACTAGTCTTTTCGCATTAGAATGGCACAGCAACATCAAGCTGCTATATGAAACTATTTCACCGAAGTCAGCCTATAAATATACCATGGCATGGTGCATTGCAGTGAATTTTCACGATTTACTGGTGTATCTTAACAAACCGAAGAGAAAGTGTTGGAACTTTAATTTATAAAATTTCGTGCAGGTAACGTGACTTACATCTGGACCTCCGGCCGCCTCTGCGACTTCACTGGCTGCGAGACTAGGGAGGACTTGAAGCCAATCAACATCAAGGGTTGGTTCTGGTCGAACACCAATCAGAAAATCCCCCCAACCAACGCAGTCATTCCCACTTGGAACATCCAGCCCTGGAGTGCTGCAGGGCACTTCGGTGGGCCACAGCCCGACAACGCTGAGTTCCAAATCAACAATACCACGGAGTCGTGCTTGGGCGTGCTCAACAACATCTACGATGACGGCATCAAATGGCATGATATTGCATGCTACCACAAAAAGCCAGTGATCTGTGAAGACTCTGATGTTCTAATCCAGTACATCGAAGCCGTCCACAATGTTAAGCTGTAGATTTGTTGGCTAGTAATCGTCGAAATTCTGAACTATAAGATGAATTTGCCAGTCGGAACACTTGAAATAAATTATTGGCAAGGTCAAGCTGACAGTCCGGGAGACCCGCACTGAAACGTTTAACTTGTTGGTTTGTTCCTTCTGAATTTTATATTTATTACCATCTTTATGATGAAATAAATTTAGAGATACTAGTGAGGTTATTTTTTTCTCTTTCAAATAGAGCCCCAAATTAGGATGTAGATTGAACTGTGTTCAAATTTCGAAAAATCCTTCAGCTCCCTTAGTTCATGCTGAAATAGCGATATTTTGTACACGAGTCTAGAAGTTATGATTGAGTCTGATGAAATCAGACGCCTAAAGTCTGATATTTATAAGATAAATTGGCAATTCAACCGGCTAACCAATCCAAGAATGGCGGCTGACTAAGAATAGAAGTGTCGGCGCTGAAGAAATAGGCCCATGGCCTGTTGCCGATTCTTGAACTTTTCGTGACTTGATTCACAAGGGATCCGGCCTTTGGAACCCGATCTTTCCATAGCTGACGATTGATTGAGATAGTGTCTCTTATACACATCTAGATGTGTATAAGAGACAGGGCTAGGACAGTTGCTAACTCTTTGAGTAATCTGGGGTGGAAACCGTCTTGTCCACATGACTTGTTTGGATTTACAGCGATAAGGCGCTTGAGAACCTCTTCTTCTTGTATTTCAAAGCTCGTTAATTTAGAGCTGACTGGGCGCTCCTCTATAGCTGGAATACTGTTCAAGTCCTCTTCAGTGAATACGCTACTGAAGATATGATTAAGTACGTTAGCTTTGCCCTCATCAGAGGATATCTTTCACTGATCTACTTTCAAATCAGAAATACCGTCCTTCATCTTGCACTTCGAGCTGGCATACAAAAAGAAGGCTTACAGGTTATTTTTTGCATTTTTAGCAATACTTTTTTCGAGGGTTTTTACTGCGGTGCGACAGCTTTCTTTAGCTTGATTTCGAGCTCTTGCGTATAGGTTATAGTCAGCATCGCTGCGAGTCTGTAAATAACGCTTGTATGCTTCCTTCTTTGTTTTCAGCTTAGCTAAAACTGTACTGTACATAGTACAGTTCAGGGCAAAAAGGTTCAGGGCAAGAGGTCCTTAATTTTAAAAGGGAGAGAGAGCTTGCTTTGATATGGTATGGAAGACGTTAATTGCGGCCGTAATAAACGCACGAGTTGGAACCAGAATCTTGAGTGAGAAATTCCAGTTTTAAAACGAAGTAATTAACGTTGCACACTTATGCCAGAAATGAAATTTCAGCTTTTGGCTTTGAGATATTCTCTTACGGAGGCGGGCGTTAACGGTTAAGTAGAAGTATTTTACAGTGAAGTAAAGTTGGCACTTTAGTTCACAAATTTCCGAGATTTTGATCGAATACTGAATTGCTTTAGGTGGTATGATACTTATTGAGGATATTTGGCACATGCCAAGACCAAATCAGGAAAGCGGGTATATACTCTACGCAATCCTATAGATTTACCGATGGTAATTATCATGACAAATGACCAATCTAAGGTTTATAGTTGCTAAAGTTAAATTTTTGTAACTGATTAAAATTTGACACAAAAGTTTATGCATCATGCATCTATTTAGCAAGTTTCCTGCATTTCTAAAGCGATAGATGGCAGGACAATCGTGGTAAACAAACTCCTGGGCTAGCAAGACAAGGAACCGAGCTTTGTAGCCCAGCTGATATTACTATTATTATTAAGTAGGAGCTGGTAAAGTGGTACTTTGTTCTCCGTTGCCATTGTGTTGGTCCAATTTAAAATGGACCGATTGGAAAAAGCTGCCGATGTGATGATGGTAAGATTAATTTAGACTCGTTAACGTATAATAAAATCCTGCACCTATGTTCTAACTTCAAATCAATCAGGACAACGGAAGCAAAATTTGCAAGCTCTATGAAACGGCTGAAGTTACTAGATATTTATGCACCTATTTAAAATTTTTAGGCTGTTGAATTCTATTGTTCTAAACTTCTGTATCTAAAATATATAAATATCAGAGGCCATTGTGTGTAAAATTAAAGAAAAAGAGGTTCACCAGAAAGCAGAAAAGAGATTTTTGGAAACATAGGTACTATACGGTATACAAGTGCATGCCGTGGTGTGCCAATGTCCTATCAACAGGCTACAGCTACCTAGGTATGTTGCTAGGGCATGCTAGCTTTGAGTTTAATTTACTGAGTATGATGCCTGGAAAACCAATAAGCAGTTAGAATTAGCAATAGTATTATAGTAGTGTATGATAGGGTTTCAGAAACCAGCTTATTTTTGAATGGCCCCTGATCCAACAGCTAACTCAACATGTTTTTGGTGTCAAATCACTATTGGAAAGAATGGGATATCAGAGTAAATCAGACAATCTAGTATGTCTGTTAACAAACTCAGCAGGATGATTAACAAAGTCAGCAGGATTAAAATTACCACTAAAAATTGCAGGAAGCTCAAAATATTGAAAATAATAATTTAATTCTAATTGAACTCTGTTGCACAATCTGGAAACAAATCCACAGAAATTTCCAAGCGGGAAGCAAAGAGTGACTAACCTTAGCTGAGTACCGGTACCACACTACCAGATGCACAATCGCAACAGCTACTAGATTGGGCTCAACATTCAGGCTTGTCGTAGAGCTTGAGAAACATTACCAGGGTGCAGAAAGTGAGTGAATATCAAAAGCTCTTTGGTGACACTGGACACATCAGCAGCAAAATTTATGCCTTCAGAAAATCTTGCCAACACATTTGGAATGAAATTATCGCATTTTAGAAATTACTTTGAATAACTATTGCAATTATTGCAAATCTGGAAGACTGCAAGTCTGCAAGTGCACACAGTAAGGTTTCCAGTACGTCGAATGGATCAGGATGCAGTGAAGCTTGTCCAGAAATCAGTTGCAATGATGCAGTGCGTGGAGAGCAGGCATGGAATATATCTACTTGGCGAGCTGTGACTGAATTTTTTAATCTGTGGTTTTATGGATTTGCCAGCCGTGATTTAATTTCTTTGAGCCATGAATTAATTTCTTTGAGCCCTGAATTCCATACCCCGGCCATTAAAAGCCATTTATGAGCCTGCAGCCGTGAACTTTTTTCTGAGTCCTGTGCACGTGACCCTCGTGTTACCCCTAATTTCTAATTTTACCTTAATAACGGTTAACACTAACATTTGTCTCACTTAAGTGCCAACTGATCATGTGATAATGCAGTGGCAGTCTGACCCCTCTGACATGACCACACATACATTATCTTTACGAAAACATTTATGATTGACTTGTTGTTATTACGTTATGCAGGATATTTTAGTGGGATTGCATTGAAGTATTGTGGATGCGGAAATTGAAAATTTTATGGAACAACATGTTTGCAGAGGGCAAACCGTGATTTTTTCATACGAAAATACATAACATTAGAGCCATGAGATTTCATACCTGCTGGAATTATATAATATTAGAGCCACAATATTTCAGAAAAAAGGCCTTTTCTAGCCCTGGTGGAGAGTAAGGGATATACTTTCAAAGTTGTTAGCATCATTTTCTTCATAAAAAATTGCCCGGTGATGCATCTTGAAAATGGCTGGTGACGCTTGGACTAAAAATCCATATATTGGTGATGCTGCTTGCACCCTCTGCACCCTGGAGAAACAAATTGTATGTGAACACAACCAATGTGTGAATGACTGGCTGTGCCCACTGTAGTACAGTACTCAAACCTGAATCTACCAAGTGACGAGCATGTGGTTGCCTTTATTTACTTCTGTTCATGTGGCTGTGTGATATAACTGATATTTTCACAATTTTGAAGCAGCACTGAGTTTTCAAAGTATTTCATAATAAACTAAGTTTTGTTCTACTAAATAAATTAATTACGTTTGCTCTGACGTCTTTTTCTAGCAATTTTCCTTTCCAACATGTGCTACGCCTGGGTATAAAGTATAAGCATACACAAACATATTTCATGATTTGGATCTCTGTGGCAGCGTGTGATTTTGCTGATGCATCTTAGTTTTAATGAGAAACCTCGATATTTCTTCCAGAAATTTGATCAAGCAACACTGAAAAGGTACCGTAAAATGGGGTAACTTAGACCGGCGGGGTAACTTAGACCACTTTTTGTTTTTTTAACAAAAACCCCCACAACTCAAAAACTATTTGACATAGAAAAATTTTGTCAATGGGCATTAAAGGCCTAATACTGAGGCTACATAACACAATAGAAAGATCTGAAAAGTTTGCATATCTAATAGGTTAAAAAATTAAAAATATGACCCACGAAAAAAAGCTATTATTTAATGCCTGTCAGAGTACCCCCTCCAATTTTTTTATTTTTTGGTTAAATAACTCCAGGTTTTGATGCATTGTAGTAGAACTCTTCTAGTTTCATATGCAAATGACAAATTTTAGGAATGTGTCATAGTTTGCAAATGGGGGGCACCGCCCACAAATGGGGTAACTTAGACCACCTAATGTCAGCCCTGACGGGGTAACATAGACCGGCTTGGAAGTTAATATAAAATTACCATATATAACATATTTTATGTTTGACAGCCTATTTATGTTTTTTCTTTATGTTTCAGACTCCACAGAGTCTTATATATGGTAATTTCAACTTAATTTCCAAGCCAGTCAATATTACCCCATCAGGGCTGCCATTAGGTAGTCACATTTCCCTCATTATGGGGCAGCGCCCCCCATTTGCAAACTATGACACTTTCCTCAAGTTTGTCATTTGCATATGTAACTAGAAGAGTATATAGACCTGTATTTTGCATGTTTCAATTCAAGTTTAATTTAGCTAGTAAAAAAATGGCATCATTTATAAAAAAAAAGTGGTCTAAGTTACCCCATTTTACGGTAATCATTTGTAACTAGTTACACTACATTAACTTGCAATTTTTTATTAAATAAGGGCAGTGATAGTCATAGGTGTTGCTCTCTGATGGAGTGGATGATACATTAGTTTGCTGTCAGAGAAACTTCCTCAATTGTTTCTTCATGGCAACAGATAAGCAATGATTTGTCACATTATAATTTTGCTCATAAATAGTTACTAGAGAGTTCGGCTCACAGTGAAATATTTCAAATTTTGTTTGCCTTGTTTTGAAGAAACGTAAATTAAAGTTGAAGTTTTCTATTCCTGAACTGTTCTCATCAAGTTTGTTATTGCCATCATTATTGGTGCCATAATAACTTGGTTGGCTCTGTAGTTTTAGTGTATTACTATGCATCAACATAGAATTGTGACTCCATGATAATGGCAGCTTGTACTAAATTTACCAAAATGCAATATATAAACTACTTGATATTAACTTCACTCATTGGTCATCACATCTGCTTCCTAGAGAAATTCATTTGAGAAATAGTGTCAACATTTCTATAATGTAAATTACTTGTGTTAATAAAATCAATGGTTGCTTTGTTAGCTGATGGTCTTTGATTATTTCCTGGGAAAAAGAATTTAGATTATTATTGTCCTTCAATAATTGTTCAACCTTTCAAATTGCAAAACAAATTAGGATATAAAATAAGCTTTACCTGAAAAGCTACATAACTGAAAATACACCACACAAAATCTATCATCCACTGACAAGTGTCTTCCAAAGCTTGGTTAAACTATGTAACTTTTAGCTCACAGCATCTGGGATTAGGTTTCAGATTGCATAGTTCTGTTCCAAAATTTATCATCCTATGACACGAGGCCATTTGACTGTAGGCTGATTCAACACACATGACAGATGACACGTACGGCTTGGTGGCAGGCATCAATCACTGCAAGGCTCTGGCACACTCCCTCAGGGTGGTGTAAATTTTTTTTGCATATTGGCAGATGATCCTGTGGGCTGATTGATCTAATTCAATTGATGTGATCGATCTGGTGGTTTGCGGCTGATAATGTTACAGTCAAGAACTTTTATAGGCTACATTCTTGAGGGTAGGGATCATGATAGTCCATTCAAAGCACGGCTGTGGTGGTCTCCGACAGGAGTCCCACACCAAGGGCCACGGCTATGAACTGAAAAACTGCACTGTACGACATCCATGTAACAACATTTCTTCTTGCTTTGTATCACTGACATGTGAAACAGCCTACCTGATAGCATCGTTGACGCTCCAAGTATGAATGCATTCAAGAACAGACTAGATGAAGCTATGCAGACGTCTTGGACAAATTTACAGCCAGACTCGTGATCAGTCTCGCTGCCGGTCTGCAAATTCAGTGAGCATAGAAATTTACGGCCTTACTTGCAGCCGGTCTCCAATTAAAAAACTCTCACAAGCTAAACATCACCAATAGGCAATAATGAATATGTGTATCAAATTTCATCAAGCTATGTTCATTACTTTGATAGATATTCAATGTTCACTGAATTTGGAGTCTGGCTGTAAATTTGTCCAAGACGTGCTATGCCGGACATATGTTCAGTCTTGAATTGCCTAGTACGTACCTAATGAGCTTTGCAACAAGTCCAGCAGCTATCTCAATCAATCATCAGTTATGGGAAGATTGGGTACAAAAGGCTGGATCCCTTGTGGAATCAAATCACGAAAAGTACAAGAATCGGCAACAGGTCATGGGCCTATTTCTTAAGTGTCAACACTTCGTTTTCTATTCTATGACACACATATATTATAGGTTAGCATTATTTCATTTTATGAAATTAATGATTTATGATTTTATGAAATTATTTTAATGATTTTATGAAATTAATGATTTGTTTAAATTTTACAAATTTAAACAAATCATTAATTAATGATCAATAAAATGCTAAATAATATTGCCAGTCCCTATTTTTCTTTGCATCTTGTATAAATGTGTAATCTATTACGTAAAAGCATTGCTATCCATGTTTTATAAGAAATTGTAAACAGTTACCCCCATACCATCTCAGTGCAACGATGGTTTTGAACTTGCTACAAAACCTGTGTGGGCCTTGCATCATTGTGCAACAACTTTTTTTAGTTCTGTGGAAGTGATCAATTATATTTCAAGAGAATTTCCCAATTCCATGTGTGACTGTATGAATATTGTGATATTTTTTTTTATTTTTAGGAGTAACCTTATGACCACGACTGAAACTAGGAATCTCCTTTGTTGTGATTTCATCTGTCTGTAGCGTTGCGTGCAATCGTCTGCTAGACGCCATGCGTCGTCTGCTTACTCTGCTAGCCTCGACACGTTTAGACTTACTCTATGATATGTTAATCGTAAAATATTACTTGACTAAGATTTATTCGCTTTAATGTGCCATTATTGTGTCAAAAGACTTTATCTTTTGCGATAATCGTAATGATTTACTGTTGTATTGTACGAGGATAGGTGTTGTTAATAGACTATATAGTCGTTAAGTAAAAATGGCTACGTCGCCATCTTGCGTAAGGAAGCTAGACCTCTTAGAGGTAGATGTTTTATTAGAAGTCGATTATAACTTATAGTCATGTCGTCCAAATGTCAAACTCTTTATTATGATTTTATTAGGTGATAGTACTTCTCATTATAAAAACGTCATCGTGTTCATTACTCCTTTCCACAACGCAAGGGAATTTAGAGCCGGACCAAAGAGCGACTCTTTAGCCCTTGTGTTTAGGATCAGAACGAAAGTCTATACCAAGTCGGCACGCTACCCGTAAATATTTCAACTTCGCGGCGGTGTTTCCGGTTACACATGGTTGAATATTGATATTCCTCCCAAATCCGCACTCACCTGCCATCTTGTAAATGTCCGCACATGTTCAAAAATTTAGTACGTATGTCTGTCACAGAAGTGAAATTTCCAATTGGGGTGTCAGTATGAGAATGCTTGTTTCCCTGATATAAGTTGATACTTCACAATTTGCTGGTCTTCTCAAGCTATTCTGGATAATTGGGCAGAAGCTACCTATAAATGAGGCAGAAGATCCTGTGGTTGTAGTCAATCCCACCTATTTTCATGGCCTTTGGCTAATTACTTCAAAAAAAGGAAATGGTGCATTTTAATCTATGAATTTTTAAAATTGCCAGTAAAACAATTGTTAACCTGTAATTTTAGATTAGCAAGCTATTATGAATATTGCACTTTCAAAACTGTTGAGAAAGCTTTATTCACAGGTCAGAAGGTACCTAAGTGGAAATTGGGACAAAGCCACTGGGAACTGGACAAAGACTTTTGTGAATCTGACCACTTTCACCTGAATCTATGGCCTTTTCTCTATTTATTCAGTAAAACAAAAGAGAGGCAGCATATTTTCCCCTTGAAAATTTTCAAAATCGTCATGAAACAATCAATTGGAGAAGGTAGGTAGGTATCTCATAAGATGATTGGACTTGAAAATGAAGAGTCTAGAAAATTCTCTGCTCTGTTACTATGTTTGGTAGATACTACACTTTACTGAAGAAAAATAAAAAGATGTTAATAACCTAATAAGTCTGTGAATTCGTAGCCTGAATAGCTATTATATTGTTAATGTCATTGACATTTTAAGTAATTGCAAAAAAAAAACTATAAAATTTTTCTGCAAAATGACAATGATAGTATAATAATATGCATTTGAAAATTACTTTTTGAAGACAACTCTTCTAAAGAATCCAGTGTCTCCAATGTTACACATGTACAATGAATTTCTAATTTTATTATCAAATATTGAAAAAATTAATTTTTAAATTATATTTATAAAAGTTAAAAAATTTATATTTTGCAAAATTATTTATTCTGTCAATTGAATCATGCATTGTAACTTTGCGCATGTGTGCAAAATTTCTGATCGATTGGAAAGGTAAAAGTGTGTTAAATAGCGATTATAAGATACGAAGCAGATAAAAATATTTTTTCAAATTTTTTAAATAATAAAAATAAAATTTTTTTAACTTTCCAAAATTATTTATTCTGTCAATTGAGTCATGCATTGTCTCCAACTTTACACAAGTGTGCCAAATTTCAGATTGATTGGACAGGTAGAAGTGAGGCAAATATTGATTAGTATAAGATTTGTAGCAAACAGACGACAAGAAGTGAAGATAAAGAGAAGTGTTGTAAAAATAGTACCGGTATATGAATAAAAATGTGCATTAGAACAATGATAAATTTGATGCAATAAAAAAAATGCATTGGAATGCATGTAGTGCTGGGATATGACCCAATTTGAAAAAGAAACATGAAAACCACTGCAAATCTATTTTGCACAAGCAAGATAGACAGTACCTATATACATAATCAAGTAATTGAATTCAAAATTATGAAAATTTTGTCAATAAAAGTTAGATAAAGTTAGAATCTAATCCAAAATAAGTTTCAATTCAGGGGTATGAACTAGTCTAGCTTTGAACTTCTAGTCGTGATTCAAGGAAATGTCAGTGTCTGTTGAAATAAATGGAAGTCTGTTATTACTGCTGTTTGTGCTGCAGTAGAGAAACCAAAAGATTGTTCATGCTAATGAATTGATACCTAGCTTTTATTGAAAAGGGCATGATCATGATGCAATTTCATGATCAATTCACGATCAATTCACAATTCATCAATTCATGAATTGTGAAATCATGCAAAGGGCATGATTCATGATGCAATCTCTTAAGTAAGCTAGGTATATTATGATGAATGTCTTCTATGTGTTGTCATGATCAGTAGGGATTGTTTTGGTTTTTAAGCCTTTAATAATACAAGAGTAGAAGAAACTTTGAGCTTTAATTTTGAATGGGATTTAAATATATTATGCTTCTAAGGTGAGAAAAGAACAAAGCATGAGAAATGGTTTTCTATGCTATAAGAAAGCTGGAAAATTCTTAGGGATATGTTGCTCACTGACCACTATGTATGTATGTAATAAATTTATCTTGAGAAGTAATCAGATTTTACACAAATCAATATAATTTTATCCTAGATTGGAGACACTTGTATAAAGTCTTAAAGAGAGGCTCATTGCTTGATTTGCAAGTTTATACCTACAGGCACCTCCTGAGGTGGTGACCAGCAGCCAGAGACATGAGGCCGAGCAAATATTTCTTCAGTTACGCCAGACAAAAAGTCCTTTTAATCTTTGCAGAGAAATTTTAGGTAAGTGTAGCATAGGTCTAAATTTTATCAGCAGGCGCATTGAACCAAAAATCTGCCAATTGTCATAATTCCAATGGCCCTAAATGTGTCACAAATATTTTTATTCCATGGGAATTAAAAACAGTAGAATTGAAATGATACCTGTTGTTGTAAGGATAATAGGTTCATGATATTGCATTTGGGATATCATTGTCTTGTGACCTGTAATTTTTACCAAGTTTTTGTTTGTGCTCCTGTCATTTATGATGAAAAAAGGATATCAATGCAAATTTATTAAATTTATGATGGTTTGAATGGCTCAGGCCAAAGAATAGGATTGAAGGTCAGTCAGAATCTTAAGCTGAATTGTCATGATCAAGTTATTTACCTTCCATTGTGCAATTTGATGAGTTTCAGCTGTTTTCTTTCTGCTAAAGTTGCTTGAGTAGGTACTCATAAGGATTGTTGAATGTGATTGATTTCATTCTCTCTCCATGGTGAAATTGATAAATTCAATCTACAAAGCTTTCATAAAACTAATAGACGAGTTATTTCAGTATAGTGAGTCTATAAATATTATCCAAACTAATCCTGTTACTCATTTGACTTTTTACTTACTGTTTTAGAAACAAGTCAGGTGCCTTACCTGCTATTTGAAGCTGCCTCTTTGCTCCGAGTTGGCATCATCCGTGAGTGGAGCGAGCTGAGTGCAGATGACAAACGGCAGCTGCGTCAGTACGTACTGCAGTATGTGTTAGCAAGACCCCACCAGCCTCACTATGTCCGCGAGACCTTAGTGCAGGTCAGTTGTGAACCATTTGCTAATTGTAAATGTCTGATTTTGTTGCATGTGTTGTATGTAATCTTGTTGGTTTTGACTTTAGGTTAACAAATCTAGTTGAAAGAGGCTGTCATAGTGAATTTTTCTTTATCCCCTTCGTGACTGATGGGACTTTTTGTTCTCAAGCCACTAGGTTGGAATAGCATTGAAAATGGTAAATGTATCCAAGATATAAGGGTTATTGGATTGTGAAGATCTAGTCTTCAAATTATATTTTTTTGTTGATTTTGTTCTCATGCTCTCTTTGGTGACAAGTTGTTTTAAATTAATGAGAAGTTTATGCTATTTTCAGGTTGTGGCCATCATGGTGAAGCGAGGCAGTGTGGATGACGGTGGCAAGGAGAGGAGCTCTCTTCTTAATGAAGTGGAGCAGCTCATCCAAAATCCTGATAACTCCATGGTTGGACTCGTGCCCAGATGTTGTTCCTATGTTGTGAATTGTTTCAAGATTAAAATGATTAACCTACATAATATTCAATTGATACTTGATCACCACATCGAATGATGATCCTTGCATAAATTTTGCTATTTGACCAAAAGATTTACCAATTCTATGGTTGATTGTGTTCAAATAAGCAACATCCGGCAATAATATTTATATAAAGTATATAAATGAATCATATGCTCTGATAAAAGGATGCCGTACCTATAACTTTGTTGCAGAAATAATCGACTTGACTGCAATTCTTTTTTTTTCTGTGTTAATCTATTTGACAAAGGTTTGAGTGACTCCCTATGTATATATGTACCTATTCATGTGAGGCTTTAAAGTGAATTAGAAATTCTTTTTTTATTCATATTCATAGGCATAGGATAAATCACAATAATATTGGACGGTATTTTAACATTGATGATACTGCACAGAGGCTGATTGGGTGCAGTGTGCTCAATGCCCTCATGCAGGAGTATGCCGTCACTGTCAAAAGCACTGACGTTGGCATCACTTGGGAGACACACTTCAAGGCTAAAAAACAGTTTGAGGTAAGCAATTTCCTCCTGGTTTCCAGTGTATATTAAAATACCTACCAATCTATGTTTAACTTATCTTACATAACATAATAAAGTAATAGTGTAAAACTGTTGTGAGCCATAGTTATATCACTGAGTTTGCTGGTTCCTGCAGTTATCTCCTTGCGTTCTCTATAGAAATTTTATGTTCATCTTCAGAACGCAAGATTTTTATAGCTGCATTCTTTGAAATATACTCCAGTTAAAGTTGTTGCTTTGTATTTTCACCATTTTCTTACTGTTCATTATATAATTAGTACTGGAAATGCATTACCGGTATCAACAAAAAAGATCTTGTGTCTGAAGATGAAATTGAAATTATAAGATTACTGGTATTATTGATTTATTTAATCATTAGGGGCAAATTTTTAACCCCTATCATTAAATCTAATTAGTTGACTCCCTCTTTGTTCCAGAACACAGATTTAAGAAGGATCTTCCACTTTGTCCTTGGTCTCCTGAAGGAAGGAACCACTAGTCTTGAGGCCGCAGGGCACCCTGGTGTCAGGGAGATACCTGAAGGGGAGCTGAAGACAACAATGCTGCGTCTCATCATGCTGGCTGAGAGCACGCTTACCTGGACCTTCATAGCGCTGCACTATATCCTTTCAAACTGATCTGTGCTTTGATTTTTTTTATGCCTAATGTCTGCCTACAAGTTCATGATTTTATTTATTTATTGTATGAATTTCCGGATTATATATCACTATGAATTGAATTAAGTTACACGCATAATATCTTAGCGCCTCACTATATCCTTTCAAGCTGATCTATGCTGTGAATTCTTTATGCAAGGAATTTAAAAGCTAAGAAAACGCCCAGCAAATTCACCTTATCAATATTAAAAACATTTTGGAGTCCATTTTAAGGTTGTTTTGTGTTTTAGATTTTTTGGTTTTAATGTCTGATTTAGAATTTTGAATTATAAAATGATTGTATTCATATTTAGATTGTCAAAACTGATGATGGAGCTGAACTCCGAAATGTTTTCAATATTGATATGGTGAATTTGCTTGGCGTTTTCTTTGCTTTAAAATTTTCTGGATGTCTAATATCTGCCTAACAGTTCATACTTTTTCTTTATTTATTGAAAGAATTTCAATTTAAAATAACTATGAATTGAATTGAATTATAAAAATCTTCCAACATTAATATGCTTGTTTAGTTGTTGAATTTTTAGTTGAAGTTATGAAACCCTTGTCCTACTTTTTGTTGTACTGTTGATATTTTTCTCTGTGGAATAAGCAATGTTCTGCAGATGACATGGTTTCTCAATTAATCTCTGTTTTATTTGTAATCTTTAAGAAGAATGTTCTCGAATGATGTACCTATTTACTTATTGTTTTTTTTTTCAAGATAGTTTGACGGCAGAACCATGCATGGCATCCAGTTATTTACTTTCCTTAAACCACAATTTTTGTGCTCCTTCATTAGTGTCAATTTTACACTTCCCAAAAATGTTGAAATCTTTGCAGTTAGTTAATACTGTTCTTTATTTGCCTTAACTTGAAATGTACTGCCCAAGCGACTGATGTCAGTGTTCGAGCATGACCAGAATCCACCCCTGCGACCTGGGGCTCAGTGGGAGCAGACCTTCAAGGATCCTTCAGTGGTGCAGATATTTTTCAAGGTCTGTGCATTAAAATAAAGAATCACTTCTATGATTTTCAATATAGAGGTTATAAGGCGAAGTGTTGGGCATTTATGTTGTATTGTTTGTACAGACTTGGGTAGGAGATCTGTGGAGTCATGTGATTTCCACTGAGTCAGATTGTTTTCAAAAGAGATTGCAGATTGACAATTTTTTTCAATGCCAGGATTTGCTATCCAAATTCTCTTTATTTGGAGAACCTAATTTAATTTAGTCAATATTTAAATTAATTGTTATTGATATTGGCTATTTTCTACATAACTGCTGCATTTAAAATGTGAGCCTAATTCAAATCTATGGCTGTATGTTCCAAAATAGTTTCAGTGTAAATAGCATCTATGAAACTAAGGCTACTTTACAGAGCACGACCATTCTGACTCCTAAATATTATCTTTTATTATTAATTTACATTACATTATTGTTGGGAGTTCTGTAAGATGGCATAATATTGAAATGTAATTCATTACTCATTTAATTTTTCAACATAAACTCAATGTTTTTACCAAATTTACTGAGGGAGGTGTACGGCAATGCATCATGCATCAAATGAATATTTGTTATTAAGATAATGACGTGAAGTTGACTGCAGGTGTTAATATTTGTTATTAAGATATTGACTGTGAAGTTGACTACAGGTGTTAATATTTGTTATTTAGATATTAACTGTGATGTTTGTTGCAGGTGTACTGGGTGGTGCGGAGGGACTGGTCTCTGGGTCACCACGCCCTCAACTGTCTGGTGCAGCTGGCGTCGCTGCACGGCGTCGTCATCTCCAACAGCGCCGCCAAGACTGACTACATCGCACACTTCCTCACCTGCTTCTTCTCTCTGCTCTCTAAGTATGATCACTTCTCTCTAAGTATGGTCACTTCTCTCTCTATGCTTCTTCTCTCTGCTCTCTAAGTATGATCATCTCTCTATGCTTCTTCTCTCTCCTCTCTAAGTATGATCACTTCTCTCTTTATGCTTCTTCTCTCTGCTCTCTAAGTATGATCACTTCTCTCTCTATGCTTCTTCTCTCTCCTCTCTAAGTATGATCACTTCTCTCTTCTCTCTAAGTATGATCACTTCTCTCTTCTCTCTAAGTATGATCACTCCTCTCTCTATGCTTCTTCTCTCTGCTCTCTGAGTATGATCACTTCTCTCTAAGTATGATCACTTCTCTCTTCTAAGTATGATCACTGCTCTCTTCTCTCTAAGTATGATCACTTCTCTCTCTTCTCTCTAAGTATGATCACTTCTCTCTTCTCACTAAGTATGATCACTTCTCTCTCTATGCTTCTTCTCTCTTCTCTCTCTATGCTTCTTCTCTCTTCTCTCTAAGTATGATCACTTCTCTCTCTATGCTTCTTCTTTCTAAGTATGATCACTTCTCTCTTCTCTCTAAGTATGGTCACTTCTCTCTCTATGCTTCTCCTCTCTAAGTATGATCACTTCTCTTTCAATGCTTCTTCTCTCTAAGTATGATCACTTCTCTCTCTATGCTTCTTCTCTCTCCTCTCTAAGTATGATCACTTCTCTGTTCTCTCTCTATTTATTAAAAATGTGTACTGTGGATTGAATCTTCTCGCTTGTTTTGTCTTTCTCTTTTTCAAGTAATGCTGCTTATTTTTTTTAGGAAATTAACTGAAAATTTAATTCATAATGTTATTTTTCTCTGTTTGAGCGTAATTTATCACTTCTAATAGTGTTTATTCATCAGGTTTTCACTGTGTTTTCTACTTCTTTGCCTGCTTTTCACTCTCTATTGATTAAATTCTTCTATAAAAGGTATGTTCTTTATCATTTATTTTCTATTCATCTCATCTTCCTAATTTAGGTTGCCTAATCTTTACATTGCTTGGATGTGTCGTTTTTTTAAGTCAACTTGGCCAATTTAGCTTGCAAAATAATAATAATTTAAAATTAATTAAAGATGAAATTGAACTGAAAATCAGGATGTTTTTATTATGTTATCATAGATGGGTTATTTACATTGAATGTTTTGCAGCATTGAAGTTCAGGAGTGTGAAGCGTTGGGCATGAGTCACATCCTGAGGAAGGTGCTGCAGTTCTTCCCGCCCTCCGTCCTCGTGGCCTTGCCTGGGGACTTGCTGCCCAGTCTCGTCGACCACATCGCAGGCCTCACGTGCCAGTTTGCGCAGCTCGCTGCTAAAGAGGAGGGGGTGAGTGTGATGTGATGAAGGGGTGAGTGTGGTGAGGTGTGATGAAGGGGTGAGTGTGGTGATGTGTGGTGACTTGCTGCCCGGCCTCGTGGACCACATTGCAGGCCTCACGTGCCAGTTTGCGCAGCTGGTTGCTAAAGAGGAGGGGGTGAGTGTGTGATGAAGGGGTGAGTGTGGTGAGGTGTGATGAAGGGGTGAGTGTGGTGATGTGTGGTGACTTGCTGCCCGGCCTCGTGGACCACATTGCAGGCCTCACGTGCCAGTTTGCGCAGCTGGTTGCTAAAGAGGAGGGGGTGAGTGTGATGAGGTGTGATGAAGGGGTGAGTGTGGTGATGAGGTGTGGTGACTTACTGCCCGGCCTCGTGGACCACATCGCAGGCCTTACGTGCCAGTTTGCGCAGCTGGCTGCTAAAGAGGAGGGGGTGAGTGTGGTGGTGAGGTGTGATGAAGGGGTGAGTGTGGTGATGATGTGAGATATAGGGGTTGCATCACTTGTGTGATGAGGTGAGATGAAGGGGTGAGTGTGGTGGTGAGGTGTGATGAAGGGGTGAGTGTGGTGAGGTGTGATGAAGGGGTGAGTGTGGTGAGGTGTAATGAAGAGGTGAGTGTGGTGAGGTATGATGAAGGGATGAGTGTGTGAGTATGGTTATGAGGTGTGATGAAGGGGTGAGTGGCATCATTTGTGTGGTGATGAAGGGGTGAGTGGCATCACTTGTGTGGTGATGAAGGGGTGAGTTGCATCACTTGTGTGGTGATGAAGGGGTGAGTAACAGACAAGAAGTGAAGTTAAAGAGAAGTGTTGTAAAAAGAAAAAGATTTGATTATACTATAGTTGAAGTATAGGGAAATAAAGCTGAAGAAGCAAAATTTTGAGACAATGACTAGATGTCCTACTATGATTTAAAAAAAGTCGCCATCATTTTTGTGCAACTCTCTGCCTCCTCTAAGGATATATTTTCTCTTGCTATCATGTGCTGCATTCTTCAACAGACCGACAAAGAGGACCAGATGTACATGGAGGCATTTGAAGTATTACTACAGACATGGAGCATCGTGCTCCAAGAAACATCCCCACGCGTCCCCTCCATGAGTTACACCATCGTCAGTGGTTCTATGAGCCTCACAGCGCCTGCCTCTTCCAATAACAACAACGACAACAACAGCACTTCTGAGATGCTGGCTAACCTCAAAGCCAAGACAAAGCAACTCTCCACTGCAATATTTGATACTTACCTCAAGTGTCACTTGGCAGCACCTGATGGCACCAGACAAAACTTAGAGTCTGAGGAGATAACAGAAGGTGAACAGAGCGACCGAGCGCTCTACGCTGACCAGCTTGTGCTCATTGGGGTCTGCGCTAGAGAGGTGCGTACCATATTACTCTGGCATTACAATCAATGGATATTTGGTAATATATTTACGATGAAATGTATTGTTGATCTTACTCTAGCATTAAAATTAATGCATATTTGGTAATATATTTACGATGAAATGTATGTGATAAAATGTTCGATAAAATGTATGTATTGTTTAACACTTTAAGTGCGGCTATGTCGTATTCAGGGCGTATTCCATACTGGTGGCGTGCCACACTTAACGTGTTAAATTTATATTTCTAGACAGTATACATGATATGGATATGAATTGTGCAGAACGTGGGGCACTGCGTGCCCATCCTAACAGAGTTACTAGAGCGCCGCATCACAATGCTGAGGACTTACCTGGGACAAGCCTTGCAGCAGCAGCAGCAAGAACAGAGCGTTATTGATAACCTTTATGAAGACCTCAACTGGCTTCTGCTAATTACTTGTGAGGCTCCGACCAAACACTTGAAGTCTTAAAGTCTTTAATGTTGTATTTTTCCTCTATTCGTGAGAATGCTTGTATAGGATTAAATATTGTGTATTTTTAACCATCCAATGTTAAAGTATGTTTGTTTAACCTCTTTGCTTTGGTCTTCAAGAGATTATATTGCCTGAACTTTCTGACTCTTTTGACAATAGAGTGTGTACTCAGGCGGCTATGTTCTTCATTCCTGATTATCAGTGGTGGGCACAGTTCCGCTAATCCGCTAACCGCTAATTAGCGAAGCTAACTTTTTCCTTATCGGATTAGCTGTTCAGCTAACTTTGAAAACCTTTAGCGGACCAATTAGCTTCCGCTAAATTTAGTTCCGCTAACTGGAAGTCCGCTAAAAATGTTTAAAAATCTTTGATTTAATGCTAAGTATCGTAAGCCATGTGCCATGCCCACACCTATACTGCAGTCCTCTGGTGGACGCAATGCTGGCAGGCATCACGAAAAGGTTTGGGCCCCTCCTAGAAGACAAGGAGTGCCAGCTGGCAGCGGCCTTCCACCCTAAGTTTCGCCTGTTCTGGCTGGAAAAGCATAATCACAGCCATCTCAGCAGGGTACAGAAGGCCATGGAGACCGGCGTGGAGACAGCCCTGAGGGAGACCGTTGAGGAGGGACAGCAGCACCACCAGCAATGACGAGGATGGGGAAGATGACTTCTTCAGCAGCATTACTCAGCCCACGGAGTGCAGGAGGAGCCAATGGTCACTGAAGTCCAAGGCACAGAATTTGGTGAAAATCAGGCTGGAAAGCAGCTCGAAGGAGGAATTGACTGACGTTGCCTTCTTGGGCGAGCAGGTGTGGATGAACCTTTTCGTTGAGTACAACACAGCCATCCCATCCAGTGCTGCAGCTGAGCGCCTGTTTTCCATAGGCAAGGACATCTTGAGTGCCAAGAGAGCCACCCTGTCAGATGCCAACTTTGAGAGGCTGATGTTCATGAAGGGCAACAATCATCACCTCGAGGAGATGAAGGCGAAGAGCAAGCCAGAGTAAAAGGAGTGTGTAACCCTGGTGTAACCTTAATATTTCTTATTCGTTTAATAAACTGTATGTTGAATGTCAACTACAGCCTAATTCATTTGTTCATTTAATTATTTATGTTACGTACATCTTGATCATCATCTGATCTTGGTATGCTTCATCTTTTTGGAAAGCTCCTTTTCAAGGCTGAAAGTTCAGCTCTCTAGGCCTGTTTTTCAGAGTTCCCCCCCCCAAAAAAAATTAAGCGAAATCTAAATTTATATATTAAAAGTTAGCGGTTAGCGGCAAATTCCGCTACATTTTTTGGTGATTTATCGGTTTAGCCTTATCGAAGCTAACTTTTCAGTTAGCGGATTAGCGGTTATCGAAGCTAACTTTTAGGTTAGCTGTGTCCACCACTGCTGATTATTGGGTTTGCATGCTGTCTCTTACAGTTTCTACATTTCCCCAACCATAGGCCATAATATCAAAGAGAGTCAATAGTTCGTAAATCCATCAGCCAATCGCTACTTCTTTTTATATTAAACTTATCAATCACTGACGAAAAGCCGGCTCTACGTGTACTTGAACGAGTTTTAAAAGCACGTCTGCAATTTATTCCTGACGCTCTTGATTTGCATACAGGCAACGTGATCACCACGGACGGAGACACAGGCGAGTGCCTCGTGATCCCCCAGGACCTGGTGAGCTACAGCCTCTCATGCGCCCCCCACACGGACGTCCCTGCCACCCTGGCCCTACTGGCTGCTCCTCAGACCATGCCAGCTGATATGAACATCCCCTCTGCTATTGCAGAGAAACCCTCTGTTGATCCTGTTATCAGGTGAGTCTTGCAGTGCTGTTGTGAGGTGAAAATGATTACCAGGTAATTGTGTTGGTCTTGTTATGAAGTGACCTCGCATCATCTTCTGATCAGTCGTAAGGCATCTTGGTAATTCACATCGTTCTGCATGTAACTGAACTATTAATATAATATTCTTGGTGGAATATTAGAGGCTATTGAAACTGTCAGGGGGCTAGGTGTTTTACTTGTACCAACCACAAAAAAAAATCTTAGGTTTCTTGTACGGTAGTGTCTTAGAAGGAATTTGTTTTCTCCGTAATCGTTGGTAACACGACACTCTAGTTAATAGTTTCTTTTCTCTAGGCGAGATCTTGAGTCTTGGCATGACTGTCTTAGAAGAATTTTGTTCTCTGCGGAATTGTTGGTAACACGACACCATAACTAATAGTTTCTTATCTCTAACAGACTGGTGGCGTGTATGCTACGTCTATGTGAGACGGAATCAGAGGCCGTCAAAGCTAACCTGGTGCAGCTGCTGAGTCCCGAAGTGTCAGGCACTTTAATGTGGAGCCTTAAGTGCATCTGTGCTACTTATGCTCTGCTCGTCGAGAGTAGCTACAACGAGGTTAGTCTCATTGATAGGCAAGTTATATATCTAATCTTATTCCAGACTAGGTTATGTTCATACCTTTCAAGCTTTGCACAAAACTCATTCCTGAAATAAATGGTGTTTATTTATTAATCATTTATAAGTACCTAAATAAATAAATATAGTTTTCAGCATATAACCTCATTAAAGGTCTGGAAGAAGTTTTCCAGCGCTGGTGTCAGCGTTACCTGACATGTTATTGGATGTTGCAGTTGAGTCCAGCGCTGGTGTCAGCGTTTGGGCGCGACTCTGAAGGCAACGCGTGGATGCTGAATTATCTGTTGAGCCGCGTTGAGCTGACGCTGCGACTGCGTACCTCGGAGCCAGCCCTCGTCAGCGACACCGTCTCGCTCCTCGTCAGCATGGCCGAGGACAGGACCAGGTGCCTCATTTCTTTTCATCTGTATTTGTCTTCATATTCGTTGGACATCTGTATTTGTTATCATCTGTATGTTTGTATTTCCATAAATACCAACTGAGTCAAGATTCTTATTTGTGTGACTGAGTACAGGAACAGATGACTCTGTACTCTTTTATGGGCGTATTTATATTCACTTTATAAAGTATTCCTAAGCATTTTGCATCCGACAGAGTTATTTTTTAAGCTAATCGAATCCACGACCAAAATGCTGATGCTAGGGGGAAAATGTATGCTATAAATTCAAATTTAATTCGTTCGCTGCGCACTGTCTTGCCTTTGTTCTAAAAGTATAACTGTTAAGAATTTATTGAATTCACTATGATTTACACTGTTGAGAAATTCGTAATTGGAAAATAATTTACTGTAGCTCTGGATCGCAGGATTTTGGAAACTGAGTCATTCATTGTTTACATGAAGAAAGACAGCAGTTACTTTTTGTATTTTTTCCACTGAAATTAAATCTTTGGTTGTTAAGATGTCACTGATGTTAATTTCTTCTTGAATATTATCGCTTTTGTTAATATTTAGCTGCATTATTTCATGTTATCTCTAATTGCTGTGTTTGTGATGTGCAGAGGTCAAGTGCTGGTGAAAGCCAAGAGTTTGGTGGATGTGATACAACTTCTGCAGCGCAGTCATCTTGCAGCCCTGCCGTCCAGTCAGTTGCACTGCATAACTCCTTACTACTTGCTATTTAAATCATATAAATTAATCCAATGCCTAGTTTTACGTTATGAGAATAAAAGATGGTTAATTCACGCTACGATATTCTATGCGAATTAGTTATAACATATCACAATATAACATAACATAGTGATCTCGGCGCTGCAGTGTAGGTCTGATATGGCCTGTCGCCACATCAGGCCTACTTCTTTTCCTTTTCGTGCCTTGTTCACAGAAGATCTAAAATCGTGTCATTTGACCGTATTTTTTCATGACTGACGAAAGTTTGAAATAGCTACTCGACTTCCACCGGGTTCGATATGGTGCGAGGCATTTCAAATCTGAACATATATTTTTCCATAGCTTTATCTAGTCTGTTCTTGAACGCGTTCATACTTGGAGCGCCAACGATGTCATCGGGAAGGCTGTTCCACATGTCGGTGATTCAAAGCAAGAAGAAATTTTGTCACGTGGAGAAGTTGCAGCGTAGTTTTTTAGTTTATAGCTGTGGTTATATATAGTTTTATATTTATATATATAGTTTTAGTTTATATTGTAGGAGATGTAAGGTAAAAGATGCAGACCTAAAAATTTTAACACCATTTGATCCATTCAGGCCTGCCTCTCACACTGCAAGGATGTAATAGCGGCGAAGACAGCACGTCGCAAGATGTCTTTAATTTGGTAGAGTTTAGCCGCACCATAATCTATTTCCTATCCCTCAGGTGCCATCAGGGGTCTGATGCAGGGCCTGGTGCTGATGGCAGGAGCTGTGGGGTCTGATGAGAGCGCTCGAGAGGAGGTCTTCCGACACTTTCTTCAGCCTCTGCTGCAGTCCTTCCACAACCTCCTTGATAGTCCTGATTTCTCTAAGAACTATCACTTGGAAAATTATCGTATTCAGGTACCCTTTTGCTGTTACATATTTACACTTGTGTTCGGGATTTGATTTTTTGGACAAATTTTCAAATTTGTTGCATTTTTGCCTGAAGGAGCATTGTTTTTGTAATAAAAAAGATACAGAATTTTCCCATTGCAATTTTATCTCGCATCACCAAACTTGTTACGTTTCCATGGATTGCACTCATTTAAATAAGATGTTTGCTTATTTATTAATATGCGAACATGTTTTATAAATGAATTTATTTTCTGTATGTGTTCAATTTGTTTTGAAAGCATTTCAAATTGACCAAATTTTATATCACTTTGACAGTTTGCACCCTTAAATTCTACACTAACTGACTGTTTTTGCACAGATCCGGCACCACTAGATCAGTTCGCACCCTCTGAATTTCACTATCTGGCTGTTTATGCACAGATCCTGCACCACTTGGATCAGTTCGTGGGCGCCATATTGGGAGTGGTGCGCACTACAGCCACGCACCTCTTTGACCGCGCCGCCCCTAGCCTCGCGGCGCTGGTGCGTCTCATGGACCTGTACCATAACTACGCCGAGGTAGTCGAGAGCATCCTGGAGGTGTACGTGGAGGCGGGGCGGCGGGTGCTGTGCTTCCTGTCAGCTGCTGCCAGCAAGCAGCTGTACGAGGCAGCTGTGGCGCTCATCAAGGTAGTGTGTCCTTATTGCTGATGTAAGGTGCCAGCAAGCAGCTGTACGAGGCAGCTGTGGCGCTCATCAAGGTAGTGTGTCCTTATTGCTGATGTGAGGTGCCAAAGAGCAGCTGTACGAGGTTTATGTCCTTATTCCTTTGATCGTTGTGTTAGCCTAAACAGATGAACAGATCGTATGTGAGGGATGTCCATAGATAGAAAAGACGCGGTCATTAGGGAGGATGAGCAGGTGAAGTAGTGGTCAGTGGAGTGGATCACTCAGTGGAGTGGATCCCTCAGTGGAGTGGATCCTTCAGTGGAGTGGTTCCCTCAGTGGGGTGGATCCCCACGGGGCAAGAGGGGCTAGGGGAACGTCCCACCCTGAAAGAGTGGAATGCGAGTTTGCTGCCAAACCCGACCGCTGCTGAGTCAGTGCAGAGCATAAGGGGCCATAAAGATTGTCTTCGTTTAGGGCAAAGCTGGAATTGCTGTATATTCTTCCAGTCATTGATAACCTATAGGATTTTTGTTTGATTCCCTTCAATCGATGACAAATCATGTTTTTCGCAAAATGGTCACTGATAAATTTTTGTTCTGTTAAGGTCTACGCGAAACACAACATCGGACGTCGTACCATCAACTCTGAAGGCGAGAAGGACCAATGGCGCGACTTACAGCTCATGATGGAACTCCTCACGTCCTTACTGTCCAAGGTGATTGGACACAATTTTACTCGCACGAGGCGAGTTAGGCTATATATTTCCTGATTGACTTTCAATATCTTTAATCCCAATGTCAACTCTTGTCACTCACATAAAGCCGACAATAAACAACGTGTCAGACGTGCTTCGCAATAAGGCTTCAACCCAACAACCAAAACAAACGTGGCCACGCATCACTGATACTCATGTACAGATTGATTGGACACAGGTTCCCTGTGCATTCACTTGGTGGATCCTTACTATCTGTGTTATGCGTTTGGAACATGGTAGTCCCAGGCAACGCTGGAGTGCTGCCATTGAATTCCGCTACCTTCAGCAGTGGCAGGCGCTCAATATTTTATCATCAATATTTATGCGCTCAAGTTGTCCTCGCTGTCGAGGTCTTGGGGTGCTAGTCCTTGCGTGGAGGTGAACATGCAGCGTCCAAGAATTTCTTATTCACTTAAATGCTTCTGATCCAGGTTCATTTGGACGGGCATTTACATTAGCATACATATTCTTGCTCTCTTCAAAATTGAATCTCCTCATCTTTTTTTTTGAAAATTAGTTGCAATTCATCATTTATATCGCAGAAGTGGATAGCTGCTTGTTGTGATCTATGGAGACGTCCTATAGTTTATTCTTATGTGCAGAAATTGTTGAATTATTATTATTGAATTATTGATTATTAATTATTATTGTTGAATTATTGAACGTCAAAAAAGACGTTCTATAGATTATCCTTATTTGCAGGACTTGCTGGGATCTATAGAGACGTGCAATAAAATATCCTAATTTGCAAGACTTCTTGGTATCTACAGAGACGTAATATCCTTCATCCTATCATTATTTGCAGGACTTCATCGACTTGTTTCCCTGCGACGAGGGCGAGGGAGAGGCCGTGGCGGCAGCGGACGTGTGCCTGTATGGCCTCAATATCATCATGCCCCTCATGACCAAGGAACTCCTGCAGATCCCCACATTGTGCTCGCATTATTACAAGATGGTCCTCTTCCTCGCCGAGATCTACCCCTCGAAGATCCTCGAGCTACCGTCAGATCTGCTCAAGGTGAGGTCTTCTTTTCCTGGCAGACACCTGGGCCCATACCTTCAAAAAAAGTTAAGAGATCGTAAGTCCATCATTGACGGCCTTTCAAGCAAAATCCACCAATCATAGACATAAAAATAGAGCGTTAGTACTTACGTTCGCTTAGCGAGTTTTGAAAGTATGGCCCCTGCTCTCAATGAATAAGCTTAGAGCTTCATTCATTCTGAAAGTGATTGGTTTCTTTGTAGCTGAGATTTTAGATGCGTGTTATTAAATTCATGAACTTTTTGTGTCAGTCTCGACTGCCTACAAGTATTTATTTTTAAAAAGATAATCTTATCAAGTCAGTTGGTTCTGTCTTTAAAAAATTGGAGCAAACTTGCACCTTTTCTTCCGTTGAGCGTCGCTCTAATTCCCCATAATGTTATTTTCTTAATATTTGTACTTCATATAAACCTTACCATTAAAAGTTGTCAATCATTCTCTGAGCGATCTTTGGCTCTCGTTAATAAAATGATTAATTATTTTTGTTATTCTAATTGATTCATCGCCCTCACTCCTTCAAGATCATTTTGTTGCTTGAATTTGGACTTGGGGCGTGGTGACTCTGAAAAAGGACATTCCAGAATCAGGCCTTTACAACGGCCATCAGCCATGCGCCGCATATTCTTTTTGTTTTTCTTACGTCTCTCCCTGCAAAAAAATGATTGTTTCTTCCTTTGTTCGATTCCCCTATATTTGTTTATGGGGTTTACTGAAAGTAAATTTTTGGTAACGTATTTTGAAGAACTTGCTGTACTCCATCGACATGGGCCTCACATCATTCGGCAATTAGATTTACTGAACAATTTAATTAATTTTTAATTTCTGGTCCTGTTTGTGAAGAACTTGCTGTACTCCATCGAGATGGGTCTGACGTCATTCGGCAAATGCAGTCTAAGGGCATGTCACTGCTGCTTGCAGTCTAAGGGCATGTCAGACATCTGCGGTGGCTTCAGCGGCATCTTCCTGACAGGCCTGCGTAGCTTCTCGCCGCTGCCGTCATGTTTCTTCATCACGTCTGCTAGCTCCTGCACACAAAAACATCACCGTAATTACCTCCAAATTTCCATCAGTACACAAATTGTATTCATAATGACCGCCCAGGGTTCGGAAGAACTTGTTTTTTGAAGAACTTGCTGTATTCCATCGAGATGGGCCTGACGTCATTCGGCAATTGGATTTACTGAACAATTGAAATAATTTATAATTTCTGTTCTTGTTTTTTGAAGAACTTGCTTCACGGCTATTGGATTTACTGTACAATTTAATTAATTTATAATTTCTGGTCCTGTTCTTGAAGAACCTGCTGTACTCCATCGAGATGGGCCTGACGTCATTCGGCATGGACGTGACGTCATACTCGTTTGATTTTCTGTTCGTGTTGGCGACGCACGCGTTCAAGAAGTGCGCGCCGGAGAGCGAAGTGATGCAGCTGCTGCGGCCCTTCCTGAAGCTCGTGCTTGATCTCATCATCTCGCAGCAAGTCAACTCGGACATGCTGCAAGTAGCCTCAGCCTCGCTTTATATACTCATCTGTGCCTTAACCCGGCAATTAAGGAGCGACTGGCGCAGGCTTTCACGCAGCTCACGGACAACGTGCAACTCAACGCTGAGCGCATGCACAAGTTTCACTTTAGAAACAACTTCGAGGAGTTCATAGCCAACGTCAGGGGCTTCTTGTTTGTTAAATAAACTGCCAGAAGAATTGATGAGAGGAGGTTCTTGCTCGGTGAAATATTTAGTGTTCTTTGTTTGTACGCGGTATGGATTCTGTGAACCTTGAATGGTTATATGCTTGCAAGGTTAACTTCATCTGAAGTGTTCGTATCTTACGTCAGAGGCTTCCTACTTGTCCAGTAACTTAAGCCAAGGGCAAGATCTTATTACTCGTAATAATGTGTTTTAATAGTTATTTCATGTAAGTATAAAATCTCCTATCAGTTTTTTTGGCTGCTAGTCGTTGTGCTTAATCTTTAATGTTGAAAGTTAGGCAACACTGATGAGAGATGTAGCAAAGTTTGACTGTATGACTCTCGTTGTGAAGGCAATTACGTTGATGTTGGTGCAGTCTGTGGGTCAAAAAAGTTCATTCTACAAAGTGTAAAATATAAGGAACCTGAAACAAACCTTTTGGAGTGAAACAATTTATCTCTCCTCTATTTTAAAGTGATTATAAATGGAAAATTACTGTTAAGTCAATAAGTTTAATATTAAAAGCGTATAAAATCATCTACGTCAATCATTTAGGCTCGTTGAAAAAATGATTTCAAGTGTAGTTTTTTTGTCATAAGTGATTGCGTCTCACATTCTCACGTTTCCAGAATATTGGATGAGATAAAAAGACGATATTGTCTCGTCAGACAATAAATATTTCTATACTGGAACAAAAAAATCTCTTGCAAGGGGCAGCTGCGTGGTGTGTACAGTTTGTGTAAATAGCTTTCTCAACGTTTTATGATTAAGATTTCTACCTTGAAATAATAATGTTGTCCAATGGTATAACGAACTCTATGCTGTCACTAGGGTCATTTACGACTATTGTCAGTGTGCGTGTGTGTCGGCTTTTAAGTTTAATTTCAAATTATCATAGATGTTGGTAACTTGGCTGGCTGTGTGACTATCATAATTACGACCTGGAGTTGGCGTTGATGTGCCAACAGCGATGGAATTATTCCCGCTTTAACTTTTTTTTATTATTAATTGAGTCAGACAGCAGCGTGCTGACCGAGCCCCCTATTAGTTGCACACTACAAGCTTCCATTGAATAACATAAGAGTTGCTCATATTAAATTGACTTGCAGCTCAATCCATCCTCGTTCTTCCTGCTTTATATATGAGCTAGAACTGTGGCTGACACGATTCACAAACTTTTATTTCATTGATACGATTCACTGCTCATATTAAATCGACTTACAGATTAATTCTCCCCCGTTCTTCCTACTTCTACTTTATATATGAGCTAGAACTGTGGCTGACACTATTCACAAACTTTTATTACACTGCAGTAGGAACATGGAGGCAGTCTTTGCCAAGGGCCTGGTATTTAATGTATATTGTTGACAGGATAGAGGAAGTGTGGTTCTGAACTCAATGGTGATAAGTATCCATATTTTTGTGAGATGACCCGTTCATAGGCTGTTTTAGTATAAATTATATTGAATGGCAACCATAGGCTGTATGAATTAAATGGCAAGCATTTTGTTCTATATTCTAAATGTGGTCAGACTTGAATCATAAATGTAGGAACTTTCTGTGTGTAGTCTGAACGTTGCATGTTGCGAGCCCACATTTCTAGCTATTCTCGTGGTTGTGTCGAATAACTAGAACGCTTTAATTATATAACTAAACGTCAAGGTTATGTGATGCATCATCAGAAGTCCTGTTGCCTATATGATGATTTAATGGTGTAGGTCGCAAGTGAAGGTGATGTCAGCTTCCATCCATCAGTTGCAGGGCAGGACTTATCTCCATTGCTGCTGCTATTGTTGGTACCTGGTATTGCAGTGTATAATTTTGCTTCGTATTTGAGGTCTGACAAGATCTCTGTGTAAAATATCGCACTTTTTGTCAACTGATTTTTTTGTCATAAGTGATTGCGTCTCACATTCTCACGTTTCCAGAATATTGGATGAGATAAAAAGACGATATTGTCTCGTCAGACAATAAATATTTCTATACTGGAACAAAAAAATCTCTTGCAAGGGGCAGCTGCGTGGTGTGTACAGTTTGTGTATATAGCTTTCTCAACGTTTTATGATTAAGATTTCTACCTTGAAATAATAATGTTGTCCAATGGTATAACGAACTCTATGCTGTCACTAGGGTCATTTACGACTATTGTCAGTGTGCGTGTGTGTCGGCTTTTAAGTTTAATTTCAAATTATCATAGATGTTGGTAACTTGGCTGGCTGTGTGACTATCATAATTACGACCTGGAGTTGGCGTTGATGTGCCAACAGCGATGGAATTATTCCCGCTTTAACTTTTTTTTATTATTAATTGAGTCAGACAGCAGCGTGCTGACCGAGCCCCCTATTAGTTGCACACTACAAGCTTCCATTGAATAACATAAGAGTTGCTCATATTAAATTGACTTGCAGCTCAATCCATCCTCGTTCTTCCTGCTTTATATATGAGCTAGAACTGTGGCTGACACGATTCACAAACTTTTATTTCATTGATACGATTCACTGCTCATATTAAATCGACTTACAGATTAATTCTCCCCCGTTCTTCCTACTTCTACTTTATATATGAGCTAGAACTGTGGCTGACACTATTCACAAACTTTTATTACACTGCAGTAGGAACATGGAGGCAGTCTTTGCCAAGGGCCTGGTATTTAATGTATATTGTTGACAGGATAGAGGAAGTGTGGTTCTGAACTCAATGGTGATAAGTATCCATATTTTTGTGAGATGACCCGTTCATAGGCTGTTTTAGTATAAATTATATTGAATGGCAACCATAGGCTGTATGAATTAAATGGCAAGCATTTTGTTCTATATTCTAAATGTGGTCAGACTTGAATCATAAATGTAGGAACTTTCTGTGTGTAGTCTGAACGTTGCATGTTGCGAGCCCACATTTCTAGCTATTCTCGTGGTTGTGTCGAATAACTAGAACGCTTTAATTATATAACTAAACGTCAAGGTTATGTGATGCATCATCAGAAGTCCTGTTGCCTATATGATGATTTAATGGTGTAGGTCGAAGTGAAGGTGATGTCAGCTTCCATCCATCAGTTGTCGGGGCAGGACTTGTCTCCATTGCTGCTTCTATTGTTGGTACCTGGTATTGCAGTGTATAATTTTGCTTCGTATTTGAGGTCTGACAAGATCTCTGTGTAAAATATCGCACTTTTTGTCAACTGGACTAGACTAATATTTCTCACGTAGAAGCAAAGTGTTCAATTGTCTGCGTGTTTTTCACGGACTAGCACTCGTGTTTAGGCTAAGTATTGCACCGGACATTGTGCGCCAGGTACCAAGACATGTTCATATCATTCTTCCACCTTCGTTCACTTCATTTTAAGCATGTAAGTTTATGGACGTTTTAGAGGCTCGTTTGATTGTTTTAACTCAAACTACACAACGAAATGCCGTTCTTTATTACTCTTCCCCCTTCCTCCCACTTGCCGAGATTGGCTTTAATTCAATTAATTTTTTACTGTTGCTAAAGGCACCGTGTTTTTCTGCAGTAATTTTAGGTTATCGCATTGATTTTTCACGTTTTCCGTTCTCACCACCTTGTTCATTTCGTGTCATACTTGTAAAATAATGTGTAGAAATTCATGCTAAAATTCAGGGCAAAATCATCTCGGCTAATAAGCCGCTTTGGCTATTAAATGAAGAACTTAAGCAATTAAATAAACATTGTTTAACGCACACTTCATTATTAGTTTCTTCACTTACCACGGTTTACCGTGAATTACATCCAGCGTTTAAATTTGACGTAACTTCAGTTCCACCACTTGGTCTCGAGCAGTCCCTGCCTTATCCATATATTCTTCATTAACAACTGCAATTATCTACGCAACTTTTGAGATCTAATTGTCTGTTGCTTCGTAACATTGGCTTTCAAGTAATTCTAGAAAGATCGTGCACAATTACAAATTTATTTTTAATATTACGACTGCGTTACGGTAGAGATATTTTCACAGGGCAATGCTAATGATCTCGTGTGTTCATCGTTTCTCTTAGTAATAGTGCGATGGATTCATAAGCTTTTTTTGTTGTTTAAATAGTTACATTTAAGTCATTAGCGCAAAGTAGAATCTCTTTAAACAGGTAATTAAATCATTTTACTTGACGAACAGCATTGTTGATGATTGTTGAATATCTTTTAACAGTCAATTAAATCATTTTACTCGAAGTACAGCACTGATAATGATAAATTTGCCCTACTGATGTATGCTTCATTGAGCACTCCCGTCAATGCATTGGACAAGATATAAAAAAAGGATACGTTCGACTTAAGCCCTTCATGAATTAGCCTTTAATTAACATAAGAAAATCACCTTTTTGTTCAGTTTACTCATGATTTGTTTATGCGTGGAACAAAATTTACATTTGTACGCGTTATTACTTCGTTTTACTGCTTCCTTCATGAACGCAAGGCTCGAACAACGTCTCACAAAACATTGCAGAGGTCACTTTGAACATCATTGCACTATAATTGTGGTGAATTAGCCAGACGTTAACAAATTTTCAATATATTTGTTTCCATTCTAACACCTACTCGTAACTTAGGAGTTATACATATTTTTCAAATCCACATAAGTCATGATGATAATATTTTACGTGTGCAGGGTATAACGCACACGAATCTATAGAAGTTTCCTTTCAATAAAGAATAGTGGAAACTTATTGATATTACCATTTAATACAAAATATTGCAGTTGTCACAGAACAGCTCCCTGCTGCTTGCAGTCTAAGGGCATGTCACTGCTGCTTGCAGTCTAAGGGCATGTCAGACATCTGCGGTTGCTTCAGCGGCATCTTCCTGACAGGTCTGCGTAGCTTCTCGCCGCTGCCGTCATGTTTCTTCATCAAGTCTGCTAGCTCCTGCCACACAAAAACATCACTGTAATTACCTCCAAATTTCCATCAGTACACAAATTGTATTCATAATGATATTTACCTTCAAACATGATTACTGGAGCTTTTCGGTTTAAATATGCAATTACTTGCGCAAATGTTCAAGTGAACTTAGCTTGTTGTTGGGCCAAAAACTAAATTATTTCGCAAAAGTCAACATGTTCCAACTATAGCGTACTATCTTGAAAAACGTGTACAAGAGAAAGCAGAAACTGCTCCATGTCTACAATAATGGCGTACAAGTCTCGAAAGTAAACAAGAAATGGCATGAAGTCAATTGCCCACTGAAGTCAAATTTCCTATCTTTGGACTAAAACGCAGACAAAAAAAAAATATTGAACCTTAAGCACTTGCAAGATAAACGCCATGGTATCTAAAATGGTCGGTCAAGATCGTCTGTTAATGCCCACCTATACGAGAACTAACTTCAAGCGAAATGTCTCGCGCGAAATGGCATACATGAAAAAATGTTGGTCATAATTCCAGATCCGAATTACAAATTCGATGACTCTTGTCACAGTGAAGCAGATGTTACACGTTTGATTTATATATTTTTGCTGATCGCTTGACAACAAAGTTCTACAGAAACAAGATGAGGAACTTAGCAAAAGCAGCCCCATGCTTAAAGTTTCCAATGCACGGCTAAGCAGCGGCTACGCGAAAAATTGAACCTTGCCACCCAAGTGATTTGACCTGTAGAAAATCTGATCAGTGTACCGTATATATTCAGGATACTAGATTGGGATAAGATCACTTACCTGACCATCACTGAACTTCACGTCGACAGTTTCCTGCATTCGGACGCTCTTCTTTGTTTTGTTTCTTTGGCCAGAAGAGAGCAGCACATTGCACGCGTCCGAGGGTGGGGGCAGGTTTTCTTTACCAGCTTCTGCACAAGCAAGAAAAGTGTCATTAATTTGTTTCATTAACAACATGAAATAAAATAGTCTGGGAACTTTATATCCAATGAATAGGACGTGTGCAGTTGCTATTGTTAGCTCATGTTACATTCATTAAATCACGTTCATAATAAGCATATCCTGTGTACCCGGTAATAATACAATGCTACGTAAGCTGCTTGTGTTCTACATTAGAATTTACCGAGAATATACTATTTAATATTATTAGAATAATTAGAATATACTAAGTATTTTTGAACAGCACCATATCACGCTGCAGATTAGATTGCACAACATATTTTCTAAAAAATTGTTAAGTGTCTATTTATTTCGGTAGTTGCTAACAAACTCAACTAGGCAAGGGGAATTCAATCAAATTATAGCACAGTCGCCATGCACAGAGAATAAGAAAAGAGCCGAAATAATGTTTAGGATTTAGCGATTACTTGATCTGAAGAGGTCAAACTGGGTTACAATTTCATACAGAAACAAAAACCAGTTTTCAAAACACATGCTTGGAAAAAATAGTTTATTGGGAAGCAAACCGAATATGATTACCTTTGCAGTTATCCAATGCCTCGCTCCGCAAGTTCACGACATGTGATCGAGCGCTAATTTCTTTTTGTCGTTCCACATCATGGTTTGTTGTAGCGTCAAAGGCAATAACTGCACATTTTGCATCAACAGTTATTCTTTCCTCATTATCATGTTTTGCTTCAATCGTACCAGCATTCTGGACCGAGTCATTTATTTCTCTTTCAGAAACGCAGGTTGTGCTGTAAGAGGTGCTGTTCTTGCAGTTATAAGAGCTGGTTGTACTGACAGGAATAGTTCTGGAGCCAGGGCTGAGACGGTCAGCTGCTGGACATTCGGGACTCGCTGATTTCACACTAGATGTTTTGCTGATAGTAATTTCTAGTGGTTCTTGTAAATTGTGTGATCTCGGTATCTGGTGCACTGGTTTAAGACTCGCATTGGAGGAGCGGTTCTCTCTCTTTTCTTGGACACTTGAAACGTCAGGCGTCAAATTTTGGCACTGAAGATGATGGTGTCCACGATTTTTGGCATCAACAAGAACATGGTCGGGAGTTATTTTGTCACTATCCACCCTGGCAAACTCAGTTCCAAGCGTCGCAACATTGCGGTCATCAGTCTCGCCCGCAGCCTGTGACTCGAGATAAGCTTTCTCTTGGGGATGATTTTCTTGAACCCTGGGCGACGGCAGCGACTGAGCGGTGACACAATTAATGGCAGGGGTTGAAGTGGCACACGTTATAGCAGGGGTTGAAATCGCAGAATTTATAGTAGGGGTTGACGCAGCACACGTTATAGCAGGGGTTGAAATCGCAGAATTTATAGTAGGGGTTGACGCAGCACACGTTATAGCAGGGGTTGAAATCGCAGAATTTATAGTAGGGGTTGACGCGGCACAATTTCTAACAGGGGTTGAAGGCTCGCTGGTTTTTGGCGTCGGGAAGTCAACATGGCCGGGAAGCTTCTCAATTTTCATCTCATTAACGTCGCGTTCTGGAAAAAAATGCAAATTAAAATCCTCACCTAGAAGAGAAACTATCAATAATTATAAAATTTTTATAGGTATTTAGCCTGATTTGATTAAGGATCGGAAAAACCCAGATTAATTTTCGTCTCTTGATAAATTTAGCAATTTTAGTGCGTAAGGAACTGACGGGATTGAGCAGCTTATGCAGATCAGAACAAGAGACCAATACACCAATGTAACACAGCAATTCTAAAATCTAATTCTCATTATAGGTAAAACATAGATTGTGATGTACTAGTCTACATAAATTATAAGTCAATATTATCATTTTTCTACTATTTCTAAACTAATATAAATAATACAAAGTTCAGGACTCATGCAATAAAATGAATGTTTCAAAAGTAGCTATGTTAGACAGCTCCGTCTAATTTAGCTACTTTTGAAACTTCCATTTTATTGTTTTATATGTCCTCAACATAAATATAACAACTTTTATATTTCCTCAACATAAATATAACAACTTTTATATTTGCTCAACATAAATATAACAACTTTTATATTTGCTCAACATAAACCTAACAACTTTTATATTTGCTCAACATAAATATAACAACTTTTATATTTGCTCAACATAAACCTAACAACTTTTATATTTGCTCATATAACAACTTTTATATTTCCTCAACATAAACCTAACAACTTTCATATTTCCTCAACATGACTCCAAATCAAAAGAAATAGAAATAGTCACCAGCGTATATAACAACTTTTATATTTCCTCAACATAACTCCAAACCAAGACAAACAGAAATATTGACCAGCATATATGCCCCTAATAGCCTGCAGATCATGCAGCTGTATGCTGAGCTTGATGCACTCAGCCCTGGCGACTGCAGCATTGTTCTCTGCAGCGTGCAGCTTGTGTTGCAGCTGCAGCATCTTGTCGCTCTGCACCACGCTCTGGAATTGCTGCTCTCGCAGACTTTGTTGCGCTGCCATCAGTTCCTTCCTGAAAACCAGAGCAATGTTTACTAAAAGTTGATTTTAAAGAATCTATCAAAAAGTATTCAAAAGCGACCCATGAATGAAAATTGACATTGCAAATTTTTGTACATTCAACATGGAAATAATATTTTGGTGATGTGACCAGAATAAGATTAAGGAAAATGGCCTCAAGAATGGATGAATATGAAGAAATGTGAATATAGATGTCAGCAAATAGAAGAGTTTACATTACATGAGGAAGATCAAAGCTTATAATAGTAAAAAATGACATGAGATGAAGGCAGCGCTAACTTGTTGGCCTCCAGCGTGCGCTGGTAGAAGGTGCTGCGCGTGGCACATCCTCCGGGCTGACAGTTGATCACCTGCACACAACAATGTGGTTAATTACCTTACACAACATCATCACCAACATCGTCATCACCAAGCCCTCATCACATGTGCATTACCTTACACAACAGGCATCACCAAGCCCTCATCACATGTTCATCACCTTAAACAACAGGCATCACCAAGACCTCATCACAAGTGCATCACCTTAAACAACAGGCATCACCAAGCCCTCATCACAGTTGTATCCCCTAACAAAACACACTTCATCACCCAGTCCTTGGTCCATTTATACCACACTTAAATCCAGGTGGTATCGATACGCATTTGTTGCACACAAGATTTTATCTAAAAATATAACTTTTCAAAACAGGAATTGTACTTGACTTTGCTTTGCCTAGCACCCAGTTTCAGTTCCCAGAGTTATAATATTCAAAGTTACTAGAGAAGAGACATCACATGCTGGCTTTCTTAATCGGTTTTTATAATGCAAGAGAATCTATAACAAAATTCAGACGGACTGGTTTTGCCTCACCAGGGGCCGGTCTCTCAAAACAGGAATTGTACTTTTCTTCGCTTTTCCTACCCAGTTTAAGTCCCCAGAGTCATCATATTCTAAGTCACTTGAGAAAAAACGTTACATGCTGGCTTTCTTAATTTATTTTATAATGCATTAGAATCTACAACAAAATTCGGACGGACTGGTTTCGCCTCACGAGGGGCCGGTCTAACAAAACAGGAATTGTACCCAGTTTCAGTCCCCAGTCATAATATTCTAAGTTACTAGAGAAAAAACGTTATATGCTGGCTTTCTTAATGGTTTTTTATAATGCGAGAGGAACTGAGAATCTATAACAAAATTGGGACGGACTGGTTTGGCCTCACCAGGGGCCGGTCTCTCTGGGCGTCGAGTCTGTCGGACATCTCGGCGAGCTGGCGCTGCAGGGCGCTGATGTGAGCCTTGGCTGTGGCGAGGCTCTCGTTGAGATGTGAGACGTACTCTCCTTCTTGGCCTCGACTGGACGAGGCTAGCAGCGTCGCTACCTGCAACTGTACAGTGTCGTGAATATCTTGTACAGAGTCGTGTCGCTACTTGCAACTTTACAGCGGCGTGAATATCTTGTGCTACAGGGTGGAGGCTAGTGTTGCTACCTGCAACTGTACAGTGTAGTAAATATTTTTTAGTACAAGGCGGTGCCGGCAAGTAAGCTGTAAGGGCAGTGCATTGACTACAAAGAACATCGCTAGAAGTAAAGTGTTGAGTAAATTAGAAGACTATTTCAGTTGTAAAGTAGGAAGAAGGGTGCCTTGAAGTGACATTCCAATAGATAGTATGACGATGTATACAAAAACAGAAAATTTCCAAGCTTAATATAAGAATAAAAGTTGCTTCAAGTTATATTTCAAGAGCACATAAATAAATAAAATAATAAACGGAAAAAATGAACTATTAATAAAGGAAAAACTGTTAATAAATAAATAAACTTTTTAAATTTTACCGTAATAAGATCAAGAAGATTTGTAAGTTTCTCTAACATTTCAAGTGCATTTAACATTGCAGTTACCTTGAGCTGAGTAACTTGCTGACACTTGAGTTTGTACTGTTTGTTAGCGATGGCGTAATTTGCTTGCAGTTTGTTGTATTGCTGCTCCAGGTACTGCCGCTGGTCCACCACTTCAGCAAACAATGAATTCCCTTTTGCTGCAGGATCTTTCTCGTTCATTTTGCACAGCTCCAGTTCTTGTTGCAGCTCCAGAATTTCGTTCTTCAATCGCTGGGTTCATGTTTATATTTAAAGATAAATACTTAAATTTTTATCCAATAAATAAATATACTTAATATATATATTTAAACATAGGTATTTTTAATAGATACCTATTTAATATATTGATAAATATTAAATATTCAAATATTTAGTTTTACTTATGTAAACATTTAAAGTCCTTATGAAACGTAGCCAATCAACATTTTAAGGTTATAAAGAAATATATATTTGCTAGATTTATTCTATTCAATGATAAATTATACTTTTAAATTCTAATACACACATTAAGAACAAATATTTAGGCACAGTTTAACAACAGACTGAGAATTATGTAAATTTTGAAACATCTGAGTTAAATTTATGACATGGCGGAACTCGTCATCTACTAAAGATAACAGAGGGAAGATTGCGATTGAGTTCATGGGAAATTATCAGTAGCTACAAAAAAAAATCAATTCAGAAACTGGAAAACATCAATAATTTTGTATGATAATTGCATTCAGGATTAATGGCTAAAAAATGTATTTAAAAAAAACACCATCAAAATATCAGTAATAATTTTTCAAGTTATTAAGATAGGTACTAACTTCAACGTGGTTGCTTTGAGAGGTCAGCTGACACTCTTTTTGTTCGAGCTGCTGCTGGAGGAGCAGCAAACTCTGCTGCGCGGTGAGCAGTTGCTGCTCACTGCGCTCACGCTCACCAGACAAGCTAGTGAGCAGCTGCTGCAGCTCCTGCTTCTCACACGTCAGTGCTGCGATCTGTAAATGATAATAAACTTCAGAAGATATAAAGTTTTATGTTGATCAAGTTTATATGAAAAGAGATAAGGCTTCAGAGATATGCAAATGCAAATAGATACGTATGCAAAAGAGAGAGATAAAGAGAGAGAAAGATACAGAGAGAGAGAGATAAAGAGAGAGAGAGATAAAGAGAGAGAGAGATAAAGAGAGAGAGAGAGATAAAGAGAGAGAGAGAGATAAAGAGAGAGAGAGATAAAAAGAGAGAGAGATAAAGAGAGAGAGAGAGATAAAGAGAGAGAGAGAGAGATAAAGAGAGAGAGAGATAAAGAGAGAGAGAGATAAAGAGAGAGAGAGATAAAGAGAGAGAGATAAAGAGAGAGAGATAAAGAGAGAGAGAGATAAAGAGAGAGATAAAGAGAGAGAGATATGCAAATGAAAAGAGATAAGACTAGAAGCAGAGACAACAGACTTGAAATGACAGTAGTGAACACAGATGCAAGAACTTGTCTAGCAATATGAAACATAGGTATTATTGGTCAACAAAATATTTGAATGTTAAATAAATTTTACAAATTCTGAAGCCAAAAAGCTTGGAGAGCCATGCAAACAAAATGTTTACTATCCAAAATATGCAACAGAGTTTCTCTGCAATGTAGTAATGCATGGGAAAAATCAAATACAGTAATTTTCCACATAAAAATTCTTTGCTGAATTACAGGAAATTGAGACGCAAGAGTCCTGAGAGGCTGATAGTAAATATGTGATATTATAATGTGAAGCTCAATCTTAATAGCACATACATAAGAGAAGTACCTACTTATTAGCAAATACATTGCAAGAATTTATAAGAAGTACTTAGCAGCAATACAAGAATTTTACAATGAATGAAACGCCAATGAAACAACAATTAAATGACTTATCATCAGAGTTCTTGGTAACTTAAAAAAGACAGAGAAACAGAGGCCTACATGATTTACAGTTTGATGATCCCAAACTTAAATGCTTCATCTAAATGCTCAGACTTATGGCTAGTGTCCAGTGCACAAGCTAAGTAGGTATCACAGAAAACATCAATAAAAAGCAAATATCAAAACAAATAAGTTCATATAATCAGTAGTAGGTACATGATTCTCACACTCGCCACTATTAGGCATTGCATTGTTTAACAGTTATCTGGTAGTGAACCTCAGACTCAGAATCACCCCTAGTGCAGCTGACATCAGCTGCCTGCGTAACAGTTACCTGGTTGAGAACGTCAGTATCACCCCTAGTGCAGCTGACATCAGCTGCCTGCATGACAGTTACCTGGTTGAGAACGTCAGTATCATCCCTAGTGCAGCTGACATCAGCTGCCTGCGTGACAGTTACCTGGTTGAGAACGTCAGTATCATCCCTAGTGCAGCTGACATCAGCTGCCTGCATGACAGTTACCTGGTTGAGAACGTCAGTATCATCCCTAGTGCAGCTGACATCAGCTGCCTGCATGACAGTTACCTGGTTGAGAACGTCAGTATCATCCCTAGTGCAGCTGACATCAGCTGCCTGCATGACAGTTACCTGGTTGAGAACGTCAGTATCATCCCTAGTGCAGCTGACATCAGCTGCCTGCGTGAGAGCTTCTTTCAGCTCCCCGAGCTGCTGCTGGGCAAGAGCAAGTTGTTCGTTCAGCTGCTTCTCCGTCACTTCAGCCGCCTCCTGCCGCTCTTCCAATAAGCATATCTGCAAACAACACTCATTAAAATATAGGAGTTGTTACAATATGATATAGCCAAGGTGTTTGTACTATATATATGAAACCCTAAGCAACAGAAGTATGACCATATAATAGAATAAAAATAACACAAAAGAACTAACATATAGGAATTGTAAAAATGTGATATAGCCAGGATATTTACATTCATGGATACATGTATGTAAATGGATACCTACATGTATGTACATACATGACCATATAGTAGAGTGAAAATAACGCAGGAGAACACTTGTCTCATGAATATAATTATAGAAGTCCAGAGAATCAGAACAATAGCTTACAAAGAAAGATAGGCTTGAAATTTGAACTTAATAATTCTGAGTCATAATAATAGCTAAAGTAACTTTAATACACTAACTGTATGTTGCCTCAGCACTCAGTGCCTGCAGCCCCATCACTCAGAAAGCTTCTACTCAGACTCAAAAAGAAGACTCTGCAGGGACTTGTCTAATATATTCCCTCTGCAGGGACTTGTCTAATATATTCCCTCTGCAGGGACTCATCTAATATATTCCCTCTGCAGGGACTTGTCTAATATATTCCCTCTGCAGGGACTCATCTAATATATTCCCTCTGCAGGGACTCATCTAATATATTCCCTCTGCAGGGACTTGTCTAATATATTCCCTCTGCAGGGACTTGTCTAATATATTCCCTCTGCAGGGACTCGTCTAATATATTCCCTCCCCTCAAAGAGAAGAGAGTGAAGAACATATCTCATTCCCATGGCATACAAGAACAAGAGTTGAGGACTACACAAGGCACGGAAATGCTGTACGATACAAAATTTATCAGTCTGGAGCAATGTTTCATCACATTATCTTTTTAGTATTATTATTGTAGACCAATCGCTACAGAACTTTACAAGTCTCACAAGAAGGTCTTTGATGGTAGAATGATGGTACCAAATAACAGTACAGGAAGTTTTTTTAATGCTAAAGCAAACTACCTACTATTATGCAATGCTCTAGTTATACTACCTACATATGAATGAAGAAAACCATTACTGTACAGAGAAATGAAAGGATTGATAACAAATTTTGTAAGTAGGTATACCTGAAATGATTGTAGCAATTCTTGCAACTTATATTCTTGCCTAGTAATAGAGAGAAAGATAGCACTAAAATCTTGGTAAAAAAATATCAGTAAAATAATTATCTGTACAATAATTTTTAGCTTTAAACAAATTTCAGAAATCTATCTTTGAAACAAAGATGAGAATATTAGAAAAATTTAAGAAATACTGGCAGAGGAAATCTTATTGGAAATTTGCTAAAAATTCAGTCACTTTATATACTATTGCTAGAAGTTGACATGAGTTTTAGCAAGGTCTGCAAAGTCTTGTATTCAATAGTCCTTCACAATAAACAAAGCTATGTAAAAATTAAGCATCATGCATTGATCAATCAGGGAGAATCCTTTAGACTGACTTGATGGAAATAAGAAAACTTTGAGGTGTATTTTGCATTTCAAGCATAAATCAGATAATAGAACCCTAACAGATTAATAATAATTTTTCTCGACTAACAACCTACTTCTTTCTTCAGTGCAGCCACGACACTGTTATGCTGACTGCTTAGTTCAGTTGCAATCTTAGCTGCCTGCTTGCTTAGCTGGTCATGGGCGTTCTCAAGCTCTGCTGTACAAAACTCTAGAGTTTGTTCTGTGGAAGAAAGCTTGAGCCCAATACTGTAGTTTTGCTGTTGTAAAATCTGAAAAAAGTTTAGTATGATTTAGTGATAATTTTTGGCAACATTAATTTTGCAACATTGTAGGTATCTTATTTGAACTAAATTGAATTTATTACTGATTGAAGAAATGAAATTTTCAATAAAATAAACATATGGCCAGAATTAATATCTAAGATTCCTCACAAAAAACAATTTATAATATAATTATTAGATTGCAGAAGCCATGCCTTGTCTATTAAGAGAATGCAAATAAAAAGTCCCTCCCCATATTAAATAATCTACTACTCCGTGACAATAGGTGTGCATGCCAATATAAGCTCAAGGCAGACACAAAACTGAAGTACACATATGATTAAATAAGTTATCAAACAAACAACAACCTGGTATATACTTTAAATACTTTGACCCTACAAATACTAACCTCATTTTCCCGAGTTTTTTCCTTCAATTGAGCTTGGAGATTTTCAATTTGATGTTGCAGTGCATCATTTGATTGTTCAGATGAAACTAATTGATTTTCAACAAAGCTATACTTTTTCTTCAAATTAAAGAGTTCCTTGGATGGAATTGTGTCATCCATTATGATATCATAAGTAAATTCTATTTTTTACCTAGGAAAATAAAAGTATTTAAACAATCAGAAAATCATCAGAATTAGTCAATAATTCAGTTTTAGTTCAAGTCAACACCTAAATATTTATTGATTGGAAACAAATGAAATACTTGAACATATCAAAATTCTAAAAGTATGTATAAGTTATTATTATTGAAATATAAACATTCCTTGTGAGGCAGCTCATATTCTTCTTGTTGTCGAGTACAGGACCATATACCTCAAGGCGGAAGCCGCCCGTGAACTGGCAAAAAATACCTGGGAATGAATCTGGCCAATTTCACTGGTCCCTATGGCTTTTTCCCAATTTTTGGTAAAAAATGGAGAAAAAATGTCATATTTTTACCTGCAATTTTTAAAAATCACCCATAAAACAATTATTTTCACCTACAATTTTAGGAAACCTCTGCCCAATATTTCAAATAGGACCATATAGCTCCAACTGACTGACCTGAGTTAATAGAGTAGGTCCAACATGTAATGGTTGTTAACTTGTTGACTGATAATGTGGAGAAGTCAGGTCCAGTCACCAAGAACCACACTGCAATCCAACTTCTCTAACATATAAGTTAAATAATTATTGTATTTGTTTATTTGATGTAGGTAAACACACCATATTCTGACACCTTAAGGATGTAGCAAGGAATAAATGGCTATAAATAGATCACTATATGCGCAACTCGAGTTCTGATTGGTTTACGTCACTCTCAAAACACCACACTATGTGCCGTGCCAGCAATGATAGAATAGAATAGAATAGAATAGAAGTGTCGGCGTTGAAAAAAATAGGCCCATGACCTGTTGCCGATTCTTGAACTTTTCGTGACTTGATTCAAGGGATCCGGCCTTTGGAACCCGATCTTGCTATAGCTGACGATTGATTGAGATAGCTGCTGGACTTATTGCCTGATCCATAATTTGCTAGGCATTTTAAGACTGAACATATGCTCCTGCATAGCTTTGTCTAGTCTGTTTTTGAAGATGTTCATACTCGGAGCTTCAACGATGCTATCAGGAAGGCTGTTCCACATGTCGGTGACTCGAAGCGAGAAGAAATGTTGTCGCATGGATGTGTTCCAACGCTGTTTTTTTAGTTTATAGCCGTGGCCCCTGGTGTTGGTTCTTGTTTCAAATTCTAGTAATCCTTCTGGGACCTTGTATAAG